AAATGTAGACTTTTCAAAATGGTAGAAGTAAACATTCAAATAAGCGAATGGGTCTAGTTCTTCTTTGACTTCTGTCATGTACTTGTTGACTGAAATATATTTCGTCATCTTTTCTATCGGATAAAAAAATATTTTTTTAAATTTACTCAGAAAAATTTTTCTTTGTATATACGCCATTCTGAACATCTAAAAGACTTTTGACATTTGCCAAGAATGTACGTTTAGAAGCTGCCATATAACCATACTCTTGACAATACTGTTTATATGAATCGTACAATGACCTTTCATCTAAACACTCAAAGTTAGTCTCATCTATAAACAGTTCATATACACTCTTGTTTGCTTCTAACAACGTTTGTCTCTCTTCGGTATGTGGAATTTGTCTTGGATTGAAGTTAGAAATATCTAATGTCATGAAATATGAGAACAAGTGGTTGTAAAAGTTAGGTGTCAAAGTTTCTGCTAAGTCGTCAAAATATTCTGTATCTTGCATATGAGAATCTGACGTTCTGACAACTACATATCTTCTGTCAGAACTTTCTAACTTCATCGGAACAACATTGTTTGAAACCATGACGAAGTTTGCAACATTTTCACAAACTCTTTGGTCTTTATATTTTCTTTCAACAACTCCAACTTTGTCTGTTATAAGACTCTTCAAAGCATCTGAGTTTAAAACTTTTGTTGTATCTATACTTTGAAGTTCGTTACATACTATAAGTTTCATATTCTCTATTGAAGAGTTAAATTTACCGCAGATGTTTTCTATGTTTGTCATATTAGGGTTCGAATAGCCCTCTAACAGTTTGCATAAGATATCTGTAAAGAAAGTGTTCTTACCTGTTCCTTGTTTTCCAATTATGATGAGAGCAGTTTCATTTTTAGCACTTGGATGTTGTAAGATGTTTGCAAACCAACATAAGATATACTCATAAACCTTTTCGTTTCCATTGCATATAATTTCTTTGACATGGTCTAACCAAGCTTCTATAATATTTTCTTTCCATTCTACTTGTTCGTATTTATATCCAGTGAAGATAGAATAGAAGTTTGGAGAAGGTGTATAAAACTTTATACCTCGAACTGAAAAATCTTCAAGTTTTGACAATAAGATATCCCAAGCATCTAACATCTTCATGCCAACTTGTACGACTTTTATTTTCTTAAGTTTCTGTCTACATTCTTGTTCAGACACTATTGTTGCTCTTGGTTTGTTAAAGACAACATCCCATTCTTTCATGACATAACATTCTGGGGCAGAGTCAACATAAATGACTAAACGTTTCAAATTCTCGACTGCTTTGTTATAGTCTCGAAATGGACACATATTTCTGAATGCTTGGAAGTCATAAAAATCTGAAACATCTATTCTGTACATTTTTATAAAAATAAAAAAAATATTTTTTTTATTCTTGACTTTGTTGTTCCATTTGTTGCATTTGTTGTTCTTGAGCTATTTGTTGTTGAAGTTGTTCTTGAGCTATTTGTTGTTGAAGTTGTTCTTGTAATACAATACTTTCACCAGTTGCATCTTCCAATTCGAAACTTTCTGCCGTCATTGACAAATACATAGGACATAAAAGTTTTACAGGAACAAAGTTTGCGTCAACTAAGGTTAAGTTTATGTTTGCTAAAGTGTTTGAGTTTACTAAAGCTGAAAATTCTGCATTCGAATGAACAATAGGCAAACCAGCAGAGAAAGTGTTGTTTTATACGCATGAGTATCTTTTGGTCATAGTAGTTTCTGTCGACATTCGAATAGCACTTTGAACCTAAGTTTGAAACAATATATAAAATAGGTGTACTTAAAGTCAATGGAACAGACATTCCTTGTATGACACCTTTTCCTGTTATAGGAAACTGTTGGTAGTAAAAACCAGATATAAGTTTTGTATTATAGCTCATATCGTTTATACTAAACTCAGTCGGACATCCAAACATAATGAAACCTGCTCTAGTTGCAGCACATGTTACATCCGTCCTTAAAGTATTAAATAAGTCAACAAAACCTGTTGGTGGTATATCTGAGTAAGTATCTTCAAAGAAGTATTTTTTACCATTCACAACAACAAAGTCTTCTGGTGTCAAAAGAGCAAAACAGGCTTTAGTCGTCATTGTGTTTAAGGTTAGTTTACAATATCGTCCTTGAGGACTTTGTAAGTTTGTTGTTATAGAATTATATGACTCAGGGTTTTTAGTCGTAATAGTATAAACCACTATGTCTTCTGCCATTTACATATATTTAAAAGTTTTTCTGAAAGTGGAGAAGAACTTCATCTAAACTTTCACATGGCGTTTCTTGAAGTTCTCTGTCTAAGAAGTTCAAATATTTTGTAAAGACATAGAACTTTCCTTTGTCTACACGAACAAACAAAACAGGGTCTTTCATATCGTTCAAAAGTGTGTAAAGTCCTTTACATGAAATAAAGTCTATATTATTTTTCTTCAAACATCTTTCAAGAAGTTTTGACATTTTTACTTAGCAAATAAATTTTAATGAAATGTTGTGGTCGTCAAATATTTTTATGACGTCTGGGAAACTATATTTTAAGTTCAACGTTTCACCTCCTTTCATAACGTATATCTTGTCAATGACATTATATGAAACACCACAGCAAGCAATGTCGGGCTCTATTTCTTTGATGTTTATATCGTCTGCCTCTGTCAAAAGTTTCAATAGTTCTTTCAAAACTTCACGAGGTGCGATGACATATGAGTTCACTTTTACAGGGTTGTGTTCGACCAAGTTTAACATTATACCTAAAGCTTGACAAATCTTCTCCTGAGTTTTAAGTTTATCTTTCAGTTGTTTGTAGTCATTTCGAATATCTGCAACAGAACTTAAGTCTCTGCTAACTTCAGGATATGTTGGTTGTTCTTTTACAGGAACTATTGTTATACCATCTTCGTCTTCGTATGGTTTCCCCACTTCAACATCTCTTTCTTTGACATTGACAACAACACTTTGACTGTTTGTTTGAGTTGGTGAATTTAACTTCACATCTGCCACCGCCATTAAACCTTTTGAAACACTCACGCTTCTATTTTTCGGAAATGACATTTTACTTAGAATAAAAAGATGGACGTATTCGAGTATCTCTTCGAATTGAAGCAGAACAAAGTTTACACACACAAACAATACAAATACATTGACAGAATAGTTCTTTATACAAACAATGGAAAATGTTATAGAATAGCAGTCTTTGCTGAACCAAAATATTTTCATAAAGCAAAGAAAGTTGGTATAACTGAAATGGTGAAAGTTCTTGAAGCAGACAAAAATATAACAACAAAACTTACAGATATTTCTAAAGGTAAGTTTATAATACAATATTATGTCAAAACTGGCGTACTGTCAATATTTGACGGAGAGAAGTCAGTTCAAGAACAACTTACTGACCTGCTGCCAAAATCTGCTCGATGGAAGCTGTCGTTATGCCAATCTGAGGAGCCCCAGCAGGTTTCATCGAACGAATCTTCAAAAGAGCATCTTCCGTGAAAAGTGCTATTGGTTTTGTAAACTTCTTTGCTCTCAATTCATCTGGACCGTCTCTGTCACCAGTATATTGTATTTGTACAGTACCAACAGTTGAAATACCACCCATAAAGTCTTCTGAGTCAGCAAATGGAATGCCAAGCCAAAAGTTTGAACGGTCTCCATTTGTATATTGAGTTTTTTGACCTCCTGTATGAGTCCATACTTTCACATATGGCATAATAGAACTTTGCATTTCAGGGTTTATGGTTGTTGTGAAGTTGTTGTTAAAGTTCATAGCATCTAATGTCAAGTTGTATGACCTCATATCTTCAACTGTAGAATATTCTTCTCTTGGATAATATTTGCCATCTATGTTTATATGATATTTAATACCGGGGTTGTAGAAGCAAGAATAGTCATTTATAGTTCGTCTGAACAGTACAAACATAGTATCTGCATGTTTCATTGCAGTTGTTAAAGCAATATCTGTTCTTGCACCTGGGTCAGCACTTTGGTTTCCAACTTCACCTGCAAAGTCTTTGACAGATATTTGGTGTATAGGGAACATAAGTGGAACTGCAATATATTTGGCAGCTAAAGCATTTGAAATATCTGGGTCCAACATATAGACTGCAAGTCTGCTTTCTATTCTCTTGCATTCAAACTTTTCGCATGTAAACTTAACTGGGTCCCAAGCATCTCCAGCAGCATTGAAATAATAGTTTACTTCAGTGTTGAGGTTTGAGAAACCAAAGTCTAAGTCAACTTTGTCTTTGCAAAATTCGGCGAATGACGTTTTATTTGTTCCCTTTACGTCTGTAAGAGTGAATGGGTCTTGTGTTGGTGCAATGACTAAGTTATTTTTGCTTGGAGTAAGTTCGATAGAAATTTTTCCTGCCCAGTTTGGCAAGTATCTTAAAAACCTGAAGATGAGGAAAGATGACAAAGGAACTCTAAGTTTCAGTTTTACTTTAGTGGCAGCATTTCCATCTGAACCAGAAAGGTTAACATAAACTCCTGGAACGTTAGGGTCAAGTCTTCTTATTTCTCAATAGTTGCATACTGGTCTGTTTGTTCTCTAGCTTGTGGTTGTACTGAGTTTCTCAAAGCGAACCATTCATAGTTTGCCCATGTTACTGTTTGAACTAAGTCAGAGTTAGAATATATCTTATATCCCATGAAAACTTCTGGAGCATATTGGTATCCGACATAGAAAATTCCATTGCAACCTTTCTTGTCAGACAACTTGGCAGAAGGTTTTATTTCAATGTCTTGTTCCACGTATAAGAATGAGTTGTCAATAGAAATTATATGAAACCTGTCGCAAGCAATATCTACTGTTGTTGAAGAACCTTCTCCAAACTCACCTACGTTTCCATAAGAAACAGCAGTTGTATATTCGTAAGTTCCAGGAACTATTTCTGACCTTCTAATGGCATTGTCGCATTCGTTATACCATTCGGAAACATTTCCATTCATGGCATCCAAAACTGTTGGCGTTATATTCTGAGCGGCGTACATTTCATATGAGTAAAAATATAGAATAGTTGGATTTATATGTCATAATAGAACCCACTGGACCAAGCTTTACTTTCTTCCTGACTGAGTTTTTAACTCTTCTTTTTCCTTCATTGCCCTCTGCTTCAAGTTGTTGCATCTTTGCCTCATGTTCACCTAGTATGTTGTAAATTTCCCATGTCCTTTTTGCCTTTGGGCTCTGGTCGCCCATCTCAGGTAACCTATATCCTAGAAAGAGTTTGTCATAGTCTGTATTTGAGTCTTCGCGTATTGTTTGCATGACTCTTTCCTGAGTTTCCGGTTCAAGCTCTTCAAACAGTGCCTGTCCATATGGAATATGCTCGTTTCCAAATATATGTTTTTGTAGCCATTCTGGTTTTCTTTCCATGTTACCAATAATATCCTTTGTGAATGGGAAAGCTTTTACCCAATCTTTCAGTCTTGCGTCGTTTATTTCTGTAGTTGGTTTTATTTTGTCAAGGAACATGTTTTTCAATACTAACATTTCATTTGGTACTGTCCATTTGAGTTTTCTTAAATATTCATCCCTTCTCGGTTCATTGTCTGCAAAGTAAGTTTTTATGACATTTTGTAAACTTTCGTTTGCAAGGTCATGTACAATAGGTTCTCTTCCTTCTATCTCCCTAACTTTCTTTCTAAACTCTTCACCAAATATACCATCTCTATGGTTCTGTGTAGTTCTTTGAGATAAATGTTTTAGAACGTCAGGTGTTATATTTCCATCAGCCATGTTCATTTCATACTGGTCCAAAATATCTGCATGTTTCATATCTTTCAATGGCATTAAAGCCGCGCTTAAAATACCAGCTATATCTGGTTCACCATTGACTTCCATTGCGTCTACAACTTCTTGGAATTGAGGTTGTAAGTTTATGAACCACCTATCCGGGTTAGCTTTATGACCCCATCTCATTGTAGTTCCATCGTCTGCAGAAACAAAAGTAGGTTTGTTTCCATCTTGGTTAGGTTCTGAATGAACTTTAAACAATGTTTCATTTCTATATGTTTTCTTGAAATTTAACCTTTTATTTTCACCGAGTTCATCCGAAGATTGAACGTTAAATGCTCGTAAGTAAAAAGGGTTGTTGTATTTGTGTACATTTTCTTTCAGTACTTTCATTCTATGCTGATATTTTCATCTGGTGTTGGAGTCTTTTGTATGTCGGCAAACATTTTTCGATATTCTTCTACTATGTCAGCCGAATCTTTCTTAGACTCTTGGAAAGATTCCATATTCACCTCATGCTCTTGTTGAGGGTCAAGATTTTTCGGCTGTTCCAAATCTTCATCTAGTTCTGTGAAGTTAGTTTCCAAAGGAGTGACTTGTTCGTTTCCTTCAGGCTCTTCTAGCTGTTGTTGCTGAACTATTTCTTCCATGTCTGGTTGTATCTGAACTAGTTCTTCCTGTGGAGTTTCTTGTACCTCATCTGCTGGCATTTCATATATTCCGAGACCGTTTTCAACAATTTCCCTATCTACGTCATCCGCATTCATAAGCTTTTGTTCTTTCGTTCCGTCTCTATTTTTTACGCGTTTCATGACGAAAGTTGAATTGTCATTTAGCTCTGACATCAAATATCTCGGAGTAAATTCATCCATGTCATTTGGATGATATGCTATTAAATCATATCCCTTAGCGAGCTTGTATTTTCCAGGTTTGAGATTATATCCGTTTTGGTGCTGAGCCATAAAGCTAAATAGGTTCGGGTCAGTATTTCCATCCTTGAACTTTCCAATAGCTTCTTTATATCTGTCACTAAAGTCAACAGTATCTGGGAAACCACACTCTTCTTTAAGCATTTTTAAGAATTCTTGGTTTCCTTGTTCTCTACTTCTTTTATGTCCTTGCTCTGTTTGTGGTTGTTGTTGTGCAGGGTTTTGAACTGTTGGTTGTTGTGCAGGGTTTTGAACTGTTGGTTGTTGTGTTGGTTGTTGTGTTGGTTGTTGTGTTGGTTGTTGTGTTGGTTTTGGTGCATGCCTGTGTCTGTGTCCATGTGACGATGTAAATGTTTTAGGTAGTCCTGGTGCAGGTGCTTCTCTTGGAGGGTTTGGTGGTATATAAGTTCCACCAGCTGGCACATATGTTCCATCTGCAGCGTAATGTCCTACCTGACTTTTCGTTTTTAAGAAAGCATTTACTAGGTCTGTTTTGGTCTGTTGTAACTCTTTTTCTTGACTTTTCACAACAGTTGCTCTAACGGCGTCATAGGCACTTTGAACTGCCTGTCTCGTTGCTGCATCTGTTATTTTCGTCATATTTTGTGCTACTTCTCTTAACTCTTTGTCGAAACCTTCAGACTTCAGTTTCTTTCCAGATGAGAAGTCGTTCACTTGTTTCACCTTACTATGAAGAGCTTCGAAGGCGTTCTTAAAGTCAGCATTTGTTAAAGCTTCATTTGAACTGTCTTCATCCGCTTGTATTTTTGTCCTTATTGACCCTATGAGTTGGGCTGCTTTAGCGTTGGCTTGGGCATCTAACCAGTCATTATTAGCTTTTATATATTCTGCGCTTTTCATTGCCTTTTGCATGCTGCGTCGTTATTTTTACTTTCTTGTGCTAAGTTTTCATACTGTACGGTTTGGTTTTGCAACTGTAAAAGTTTTTCTGCCTTTACATTTGCTTCAACTTCTTTTTTATACTCATCGCTATCCATATATGTCTTCAGGGCTTTTTGTTTTATCTCTTCATCTTTCAGTATTTTATATTGAGTAGTATGGTTTTTCAAATTTATGACATCTTGTTCCATTTTTTGCTACTTCTGCTGCTTTTTCTGACACTTTTTTGCATATTCCTCTGTACTTAGTTCTTTCAGTTGTTCTTCTTTCTTCTTTTTCTCTACGTTTAACTCATTTAGTTTCTTTGTGTGTCTGTCATATTCTAGTTTCTTTTCGTTTTCACTTATTTGCTTCTGTATGTCTATGTTTGACTTTTTGACATCTGTTATTTGATTTTTGAGTGAACTCAATTCATTTGACTTTGAGGGTTTATAAGCTGTTCCGTCTGCAGCTCCACCATAGCCTGCCATTTTCGCTAAAAGTCCCGCTCTTAAACCTCCACTCTGTGCACCAATGACTCGGTTTAAAAGCATAGGATTGCTTGACATTTGTTGCAACATAGTGGGGTCATTCAGCATTTGTTGTTGCAACTGTTGTTGTGGTGTTAGTCTTACTATTGGATGTTTCAATGCTCTCTTCCTCTTACGTATATTCTTACGTAGCTTACGTGGCATTTTAAGTGAAGTTAAAAAGCGGTTTTTGACAGATGTTTTATTGTGACTTCTTCGTAAAGACTTTGTTGAGACTTCTTCGTAAATGACCCAAAAATATATTTTAGGGTAGAAGGGTATATCTAACCTCTTTTCTAACCTCTTTTCTACCCTCTTGAATTTTCATGAATTTCTTCGTAAAGACTTTGTTAAGACTTCTTCGTAAAGACTTTGTTGAGACTTCTTCGTAAAGACTTTGTTGAGACTTCTTCGTAAAGACTTTGTTGAGACTTCTTCGTAAAGACTTTGTCAAGACTTCATCGTAAAGACTTTGTTGAGATTTCTTCGTAAATGACCCTAGTAGTATATTTTTGGTGTAAATTTCATGAAAATTCAAGAGGGTAGAAAAGAGGTTAGAAAAGAGGTTAGATATACCCTTCTACCCTAAAATATATTTTTGTCTGATTTACGCTCATTACGATGAAGTTTTGACAAAGTCTTTACGAAGAAATCTTGACAAAGTCTTTACGAAGAAGTCTTGACAAAACATTTACGAAGAAGTCTTGACAAAACATTTACGAAGAAGAAGTCTTGACAAAACATTTACGAAGAAATTCATGAAAATTCAAGAGGTGAAAAATGAGGTGAAAAAACAGGTGAAATCTCACCTCTTCACCTAAAATATATTTTTATTGAATTCTGTATAATATTCTGAGTAATATGACAGATGTTTATATAACACTTTCTCCGGTTTATAGGACCTCTCTCATATTCTATCTTGTCATATCAAAACTCATAGTCATGTTTGTCCTCTAAGACTTCATTTATACTAAACATCTTCAGGGCTAGAAGGCACGAAGTGCCTGGAAGCCCCACTCCCTTTTTTTTTTTTTTTTTTTTTTTTTTTTTTTGCATTATATTTCCACTCATTATATTCGTAAATTTTGAGGTTTATCATTCGCTTTTAAGATCATTGAATTTGATTTTTATATAAAATAGTTATATATTAGAAAATAATATGAGTTTATGTGATATTATTTTTCAGAAGATTTCATTCTATATGCCTATGAAAAGTACTCTCAAAACTAACTTTTTCCTAATTATAATTAAATCTAGAATATTGTATTATGCTTAGTATTATTTCATTTTTCTCATTCAATTTAGAATTTACAAATGTCAAAAAATTGAGAGCTGTCACTTTTGATGAATTTCTGTTTATTACAGCATTGTTATTAATATGAAAATAAAGCTTATTTCAATGAAAATTGTTCTGCAAATTTATTTCACTTTTGACCTCACTTTTTCCGTAATTCAATTTATTACTTTTAATATTTTAGATCTTCATAATATCATTTGAAAAATTAACCATATAAAAAAATCAAGTTATCAATTCACTTTTTCCGTAATTCAAAAATCAAAAATATAAATAATATATCTTTTTATCAAATATTATTATTATATTCTATGAAAAATGAGGTCCGGAAATTTTGCGGATTCCCGTAACTCAATTTTACGGAAAAAGTGCAGTAAACTATTCAAAATACGGAAAAATTGGTGTAAACTAATGATTTTACGGTAAAATCACGGAAAGTCCCGGAAGAATATATGTGCCTATATGAAATTATACAAAAATGAATCAAACGCAATTTTAAAAGATTGTTCTTGTATTATAAATGCTATTCGCAGATTTATTAGTTGAAGAAAATTACCAAATTTTTGCCGATTTACAAAAAATGATTTACAAAGCATATTTTTATAAGGCTTTAAAAATCTTTAAAATGTGACCGGTGACGGAAATCCATGGTAACCAACCGCGGTTCCCGTTTGGAATGCCATAGTAAAAAGTATGGCAGTCCCAACGGGAACCGCGGTAATTTACCGAGGTTTCCGCACACCGGTCCCTTTTTTTAGGAATTTTTTCGATTAAAAAATATGCTTTGTAAATCATTTTTTGTAAATCGGCAAAAATTTGGAAATATTCTGACGACAATAAATCTGGGAATAGTATTTTAAATACGAGAACAACCTATTTAAAAGTGTTTCGCTCGATTTTGTATAATTTCAAATTTTCGCATATAGCTTTCCGTGAATTACCGTGATTTTACCGCCACAATCAATAGTTTACGACACTTTTCCGTAAGTTGAGTAGTTTACTGCACTTTTTCCGTAAAATTGAGTTACGGGAATCCGTAAGATTACCGTACCTCACTTCTAGTTGAAAATAGCATTAGTATATAATAAATAGATATATTATTCATATTTTTGATTTTGAATTACGGAAAAAGTGAGTTCAGAAACTTCCAATTATTATTTGATTAATTATGTTAAAAATACTATAAGGAATTAAAATACATAATGTTGAAATTTGAATTACGGAAAAAGTGAGGGTGAAAGTGAAGTGAAAAAGTAAGATATTTTTTTGTTGAAATAATCATAGTTGTACAATTTTGAAACTATATGTAAAGCTAGAAATTGAATAAATTCAAAAACAAAAATTGTTTATTCTTATTAATAAATTTATATTAATCAATATTTGAACAACCCGTAATTAAAATTGAATTCCTCTTAAAATTTAATCCATACGTTAATTTTTAATTTGCTCGGCGAATGCCGAGCTTCCCTACTTCTCTTGTCATTCCTTCAAAAACTCTAATCTCATCGCACTTACAAACATCATGATTTGATGTATTGTCGAGAAATCTTAGACTTGTTTGTCATTTGATTATAGCATTTGAAAGTCATCTCGAAAATCGATTAACAAGACAATTTCCCAAACATCTACATACAAGTAGATGATGGTAAACCCATTAGAGTTGTTTTGCTATGATTCCTCCAATCTTATGATGAGAAAAATCAATATCAAAACAGCTCTAATCGAACATTCTACAACAGCTTAGCATCCAGCTAGTTCCAAGTAATGCGATTACAACATCAACGGCCAAAGCCTTTCAGAGTCCTTTACAATCTTTCTTCTCATCTCAATGTGAAGTGGCCCCAAACGAACTACAAGCTGACGTTACAACGCATTACAACCCGGTTAATACGAGCATATACATTAGAGCTGCTTGTGTTATGATCTCCCTCATCAATTGATGAGAGATCTCATTATGAAGCAGCTCCAATCGAACTAAAAACCTACATACAAATGAGTGAAAACAAACTCATTAGAGTTGTGTTGCTTTGATTTCTCTCATCAGAAGATGAGAGATACCAGAACAAAACAACTCTAATCAAACTTTCTACACAACTCAGCACAGTATCAATGCAAAGTAATGCGTCTGTATCGTTAACAAGCAAAGTTGTTTCGGGTCCTTAGTTAGTATACATATAATGTGTACGGAGGCACTGCGAGCCTCCTTACCCATTATATGTGAATTTGACACTTTACAAAACCGTTAACGTATATTTTACAACACAAACACAAACACCAACTTAACCTTAAATATTTATAAAGCCGCCAACCACTTCACCTCACTAACGTTTTCACAAACGACTTCACTACTGTAAAAAATAAACGTTCTCACTTACAAAAGTATTGCAACTCTTCCCATTGCTGTGCTTCACACACTAGTTCATATTCTTCAGTATCGCTGCTGTCGCTCCAATCGTCAGAGTCAAAGTCACTGTCAAAATAAATGTTAGTAAGTTTTGACAAAGCTAATGAAACACGCTTACCGTTTGTATCGTATGCTTGTATAAACTTTCCATTCTTCATTCCTTCATAAACGCTCAAACTAACTTTACCCTTTCTCCCTCGTATCTGATAGAATGTATTTTCACGAGGAACGAAGAACAAATTCTTGAACTCATGACCGTTGTAGTTTGTTATCTCAATAGTTTTCGTCATTTATATAAAAAAAATAAAAAATAAACTTAAAAATTAATGATATCACCACCCTCACATGTATGAAAACATAGCACAAAAATAAATTTAGGTGAAGTGGTGAAATCTCACCTCTTTTTTCACCCGGTTTTTCACCCTGTTGAATTCATTGCTTTATAACTCTCTTCCTTGGTTTTCTTTTAGTTGCTTTCTTCACGGCTGTCTCCACTTGACTGTCTTTCTTCTTCGTCCATAATGATACCAATTACTTCCACCAGTCAATGGGTCAAATGGTCGTTCATAAGGGTTTCCATACATTCCATAAAGGTCCGTATGGATAAACCGCTGGTGGAGAAGAAACATTTTCTTAGTTCCATCGACTCTATTAAAATGCATTGTTTTCACCTTTCATCTGGTCATATAAAGTCTTTGCGTGTTTTGCAAATCATCGTCCTTCCTAAAGCATTTTCTGACTCAATCGCAACCAAATTGGATGCTTTATTTATGAGCCTTATTTTATTTAATCTTAACTTCTTTGCAACCCAGCCTCCAATCTTTCCTTTATTTGCATCTAATGTCTTTGAAACCCTTCCTCCACTCATTTTATTTACTGGGTCATAAGCTCCAAGTGCTTTTGCTCCAAATGCTAATGCTTTTGTTCCCATTGCGCCTAAAGCTGCCCAAGCTACCATTTACACCATATTAAAATCATCTCTCTTCAATATTATCTCATAAAAGTTCTCGTTACTGGAGAAAGTCAATGAAACATAAGCGTTCTCACAGGCTTCGCCCTCACCGCTTTGCGGTCTATCTAACTTCTTTCTTATATCATCTATACGCTTCAAAATGTCTGAACAATTGCTAACATCTTCTACAACAGTTATTTCATCATGAATGACCTTCAAGAACAAGCTCATTTAATATGCTATTAAAATCATCTCAATAATGAGTCCATCCTTTCCATCTTTAGGTAGCACAACATCTTTCATTGAAGAAGGTTCGACAAGTCTTATGTTAAACTTACTGACAAAGTTTGTTATACTATAATGCTTTGGCGGCGAATACATATAGTTTGAAAGACATAATATAGATTCTTCAGCAAATTCACTTATACTGGATTTTATAACAATGTTCTCACGAGACCAAACGCCACCAATTGACAATCTTGTAAGCAATCCTGCTGAACCTTCAACTGTAAACGTCGATGGTAACATTCCACGAAGGTCATCTATTGACATCGTTGAGTCACTGTATTTAAATATTTTCTTAAAGCAATCGTCATTATCTAACCATGCAATAGCTTTGAAGTTTTCATTCGAATATACATCTGCTTCATTAAATGTAAAACCTGACTTCCTTGCAGAGATGACTTTAAAATCTATTGAGTTTGTTTCAAAATTATATGCTATGGTAACTTCTGAAGGTAATGGATGTCCTTCCGCAGTAAGTTGTTCTCTCACTACCGTTTGAAGCTTTGTGTTAAAAACTTTCATGTCATCTCCTGTGTCTAGGTTCACATACACAGCAACAGGGAAACTATCTTGCTTCTTTGTTTCATCATTATACCTCAAAACATTAAAGTTCTTCAATAATATTGTTCTTCCTGCTGGAATACTTCGAACCTGTCTGATTTCAATAGCTTTCTCACCTCCTACATACTCTACCCAGTATCTTGGATATTCATAAGTATACTGACTTTCTTGAATTTTGGTTGGTTTCATCATAACATGTTCATAGTATATCTTTATACTCTTGTCAGTTAGACTCGGTGCTATGTTCTGAATATTTCTGACTTGCATTTTTAATGGAGATAAAATGAAGCATTTAATACATGATGTAGATGAAGACATGAATGAAACTACAGACAAACTTAACTCTTCTCTTATTCTTCCTTTCAGCAAAGATTATGAATTCTGTTCAAATGGCGTTTATTTCTATTGTGGAAAGATGGGGTCAGGAAAGACATTTAATCTCATTCGTCATATTCTTATAACAGAACGTTTAGGAAATGACTCATATTATGACCAAATCATTATATCAGTAACTTCAGACTCTATGGACTCAACAGCGAAAACATTTATGTCAAAAGTTCAAGCCTCTGTCGTTAAAGTTCCAGATAGTGAACTCATTGAATTTCTTCAACGTTACATTCGACGTAAGAGAAAATATTATGCCATCGTAGAGTTCATACAGTCAGGAATGCAAAAGACTTCTGAGGAGATGGAAAGAATTATTGACAAACACCACTTACGTCAATACTCAGGAGTTTACGATATGAAACGACTTACAAACTACATTCTGTCAAAACTTTCAAAATACCCCTTCAAAAAATATCCATCAAACACTTTATTAGTTTGTGATGATTTCGCTGGTAAAGGTTTAGTGTCAAAACCAGACTCACCATTAGCTAACATCATTACTAAAGTCAGACATTACCACTTAACTGTAGCAATACTTATGCAAACATGGAGGTTTTTAGCTTTAAACATAAAACGTCTCATAACTGACTTCGTTATCTTTCAAGGTTTCTCACGTTATGATATTGAACTCATTTGGAAACAGTCAGGTATAACATTACCTTTTGAAGAAATTTGGGAAGCATATAAGTCTCTCATCTCTCCTCGTTCATACCTTGAGATTCATATCATGACTAATACCATTAAAGTCAAAAATATTCCATGGGAACGACCAACATTGTTTTAAAGTTTAACCTTCAATTGACTGATGGTAAACAAATTCCATGCATCTCTGTCGCCATTTCTGTTAATATTTTTGCTGTCATTCATATCATCCACTTCCCCATCCGTTAGCTTTTGAGGATATGCGTTAGAATAGCTGTTCTTAAATGAAGGCTTTTCACCTTTGAGAGCATAAACTCTATAACTTTCTGCATACTTTATGTTTGAACCTCCTGAGCCATCATTGACATAAATTTTTATAGGCTTCCACCCTTTGTTCATGTTCCTGCTTCTTCCCTTAGCTCTTTTGTTCAGTAGTTCTACATCTTTATACACAGCACCTGTCTCAGTGAATTCAACAATATTTTCATTCGTTAGCTTTACATTCAAACCCTTGTCGAGTATATTATTCATTTCATACATATAAAAGGTTTTTATTCTATATGAAATGAGAAGCAAATCCATCTTAGCTGGTGCCGTTAATGTTCCAATTGAACCAACATCAAATGTTGACTCACGAACGACAAACAATATTGTCATAAAGAACTATAGTTCAGAGTGTTTGAAAGAACCAGAACCAGAGCTGAAATCCGTGAATTTAAACTCAGCTTCAAACGCTAACGCTACATCAGATGTTAAGTTAGAGTATCCACCACTGGACCAAATTCTTTCAAGAGAAGCCAACGACAACCCTTACACAAATGTTCAAACAAATCCTTCAGATAACGTAGACCATTACCTTCTTCAGTTATACCAAACAATTTTACTCAAAGACGATAAGAAGCTTTTGACAAATCTTATAAGCAAGAACCAAATAATTCTAACAAAGGAGGACCTTGAAAATGTTATATCACGAATAACAGGAAAACAATGTGTCATTGACTATCTCGACCCTGAAATCGAATGCTGTGGTCAAACGCCAATATTCATGAAAATAGGTAACATCCGCATCATTGAAACACCAGGAACTACAGGAGTTGAGTTTAAGTATAAATATTCGAATGAATACACAAAACTATCTACTGACTATAAGCTTTGTTTGAAATATGTTTTAGTAAATTAAAGCAGTCAGGAGGGCTCTTTGAGCCCATCTTGGCGCTTTGCGCCGTCAGTCAAAAAATTTCAAGTTAGCAATTTGTAATATCTATCCAAAACTTCTTCAACAGTATCGAACTCATCTTCATAATGCAAACCTAATCTTATTGACTTGGTGCAGTTTTCACTAACACAATATTTTTCTGTTCTCTTGACTGACATAACTAACTCATTTGTTTCATCAAACAGCAACAACCAAAGTTCATGACCTAATACATAACATTCATACTTTATATTTTTAGCTCTGAGTTCTCTTGTAAGCTGTTGCATTTAATATTTTCTAAAAAGTCAACTTCAACAGTCATTCGCACTGGTGCCTTCAGTTCTACAGGCTCTCCTTGAAAGTCAACAAGTCTGAATTGCATGTCTTTCAAATTATGTGGACTAATGCGAACCCATTTACCTAAATGAGTTGCTATGACAGGAACGTTTGGAATGAACATTGAATTTACTTCATAACAGAAAGACTTATATTCTACTGAACCTTTACTATTAACTCCTGAAATACCTGTGACATTAGCTATTTTTGACTCAACGTACAAACAGTTGCCATAACATACATATGGAACAGATTTCATCTCAATCGTTTTGTCAACACTTTTCAAAGGAAATGTCATATGGTATGCTCCCAGAAGCAATTGAACTCTATGACTCATTCGTGTTATCTTAAACTCCTTCGCATAACTGAACTTCAAAACTCCTGCAATAAGTTTAACATTCATTAAGTTTTCTTCGTTATCCTTGTTTATTGTAGTATTTATGAGAGCATTTAACACTCCAGCTAATGTTTCCATCTTATATTCTACATTATTGTGAAATCTTATTTCGTGCTTCTTTCCATCTATTTCAATCTCTATGAAATCTGCTTCATCTGTTATGACAAAAGTTGCGATAGTATTGAAGTCAACAACTCTGAAAGCAAGCGCTTCATTCTGAAGACCTAAGTTTGTTTGTAGCTTTACTGTCCCGTATTCGTTTGGGTCTGTACTTTGCAAATAGAACAACATTTTATTCTCATTAAAATATGACTATTGCTGCATATGCGTATGAAACAAATGAAGCAAGAAGAGCACATGAACTAGTAAACGAAAACTCAACTTTAACCATTGAAGGCAATGATTTAGTCATTGACGATGGAAAAACTAAAAAAGTCATTGATTTCGATACTTTTAACACTTATGACCCATTCATTACAATAAGTAAAGTTCCTATCATAAATGATGGAACGGTGCAATATATAAATTCTACAGTAGATGCCTCATTAGTGAAAGTATTAAATGTTCTCATTGAATTGTTAAAGAGCTTTCGATTTGACGACAACATTAAATGCCTAAAGAATTTAGTCATGAATGAGAAACAAATTCTCGGCGTTGCTGGTAACAGTAATGATGTACACCTTATGACATTAGAATATTATAACGAACATAAAGATGAACTGAAAGGAGAGAAGGGTGACACCGGACCTCAAGGACCACAAGGAATACAAGGAATACAAGGAATACAAGGACCTCAAGGCGAAAACGGTTTGGATGGTGAAGATGGAAAGGATGGAAAAACTGCTAAATCATGGATATGGAACCTTATAAATACTGGTTTAACAGCTGATTCATATGGAGTTCTTCAATACCAAATCGGAAAGATATGGGCGGTACTTGGTGAAGAAGTTTTAGATGACGTTAAAAATGCTTTGAACTTCATTTCAAATGGTTCTGATACTATTAAAACTTTATCTGGTTGGATGCAAGAAACAAGGAGTCAAATAGATACTGTAAGACGTATAGCAAACAATGCACGTACGGGATTGGATACTTTACGAGAAGCACAAAATACACTAAAGGAAGCAAATGATATTCTTGGCTCAGTATCAGACATGCATGAAGATTGGCTTAAAGGTATTGACAAATCTTTAAAAAATCACAGTCAGTCTATTGCTGACTACAAGAAAAGTATAGATTTTTTACATAGTGCTATGGACGTACATGATGGAAGCATAAGGAACTTACTTAATGCTAACAATAACTTACCAGGAACTATTAAAGCATTTATAAAGTCCTTTGTAAAACCTGGTGCTCTAACATTTAGGTCTTTGAGAGCAAGAGCATTGAAGTCAAGAGATGCAGAAACTCCAACAGAACCTACAGAAGGAACTGAAACAACAGAAACTCCAGAAGAACCACCAAAACCAACAGCTAATGAAATATTGTTCGAATATTTTCCAAGGTACTCTGTTCTCATTGCATACATTCAAGAAATACTTAAGAAAGCAGACTTGACTTTAGGAGATGATGAAAGTTCTGTATATCTTTCGTTCCAGTTTCAAATAGCAGAACTTTTGAGACAGATATGCTTAATGTATGACAACATCTCTGATTTCACAAGATATGACGACGACCATGACCCCGAACACGGTGAAGAAGAAGTTTTACAAACATCCATTAAGACAGGAAAAGTTTTAACACAAAGTCTCATTATTGACACCAAAGATGGCGAAGTGGACGTTCTTCAAGAGCTGAAGAAAAATACTTCTTCGGGAGGTGGTGGTAGGCATGAACTTGAAATAAATGAGATAGAAGAGAAATTAGCCGAAAAAGCAGATAAAAGCCATGTTCATTATATAAGTTCAGATGAACAGATTATAACGGACTACCATGGATATTTAACACGAACTGAAGAAAGAGTGAAGACGGAAGATGTTAATGAAAGAAGATATAAATACATTCGTGCTAAAGGTTATGACATAAGCTGTACTGTACAGTATGACACGGGTAAAGCACCAGAAGCATTTGGTTATAACGATGAAATTTATGCCTCTAGTTTCTTTGTTAACGGTGTATTAGTTGAACCAAGATTTACTTTGAGAGTTAAGGCAAAAATAACTTTTGAAGATGCTATTAAAAGTAAAGCTGACAAGAACCATACACATGAATCCTTCACAACTGTTAGAGCAGACGAAATAATATTGAACTATGATTTGGGTTCAAGTGCACCTTTAGAGAATCCGAGTACAAGCGTAAAAGATACACTAAACAATTTAGATAACAGATGTATGAACATTGAAGGTCATGCCAGAAACTTTGAAGCATACGAACTACCAGCAATGTTAGATAAGAAAGCTGACAAAGAACATACACATAACTCCTTCTCAACTGTTGCTATAGAAAGTATTGAAGGAACGGTTGGCGGAACTGGTGGGGATGCATTATATTATAAACCTCCTAACTTTCCACAAGGTTTAACATCGAATGAAAACATAACAACGAAGAAAGACATTAGCTGTAAAAATGTTTATGTCATGGATGATGAAAATAATGTTAAATTCACTGCTCAAGATTTATATGATAAGAAAGCCGACAAGAACCATACACATAAATCCTTCACTACTGTTAGAGCAGACGACATAATATTGAACTATGATTTGGGTTCAAGTGCACCTTTAGAGAATCCGAGTACAAGCATAAAAGATACTCTTAACAATTTAGATAACAGTTGCAGGAATATCGAAGATCATGCCAGAAACTTTGAAGCATATGAACTACCAACAATGTTAGATAAGAAAGCCGACAAAACTTATGTAGATGAAAATTATGCAAAGAAGTCGGAAGTAAATGCTGCGCTTAATGGAAAAGCCGATAAAGAGCACGTGCATGAAGAATTTCAAACAATCAAGATTAAAGAAATTAAAGCATGCATTGAAATAGTAACAAAAACGGGAAGAAACGGTGCAACTGTACATGAACAAAAAATTTATCCTCCTACTTTTCCTAATGGTTTAATAACAAACAATATAAATATTGAAGATGGCAAAAAATTTATAAACGTTAAACATGAACTTCTAACAATGAAGGCTCAGATTCTTCAAACCATATATCCTATAGGCTCTATTTATACGTCAATGAACTCAACAAACCCAGCAAGTGTTTTAGGTTTTGGTACGTGGCAACAGATTGTAGATAAATTCTTATACTGCACTAACTCGTCAAATCAAACAGGAGGTTCGAAGAAAATTACTGAAGCAAACTTACCTGCGCACACTCATACAGGAACGACAAACTTTTCTGGCGACCATAGCCACTCATTAAGAGACCACCCATTATACAACTCAGACTATGAAGCTGGCAATGACGTTTTATCTCCATCTTATAACAATTCAGCAAAAAAGACATTTCGACCAACTGAACCAGGAGAAAATCATTCACACACTTTCACAACAAATCCAACAGGCTCGGGTGAAGATTATATGCCACCATTTATGACGGTTTATGCATGGTACCGCGTTCAATGAACGCACTTGAGCCTAGACCCTTTGGGTCAAGGCTTACCGTCTTGAATAAAATCTTTAACTTTACATAAATGAGCTTGAAAGAAGTATTCGAACAACATCCATGGAGGTCATTTAAGAAGTTCAATGAAGCTGCAAAGAGTTGGGGATTTACTAACAGAGCTGAAGTGAAAAGGTTCTTTGACAAAAATGTTGTACATCAAACAAAAATAAACCCTTACGACTACTTTTTACCAATTTACTCCAACGCTCCTGACGCATACCAATTTGACACTCTCATTCAAAGCAGAAAAGGAGGACATAAACCATTCCTCATCTTCATTAATGTTAACACTCGCAAAGCATATGCATATCCAATGAGGAATAAAGGAACTCGTGAAGTTTTAAGAGTTTTGCAGACGTTCGTGGCAGAACATCATCCCACTTCATTAACTTCAGACCAAGACAGTGCATACCTCAGCAATGAAATCACAGATTTTCTCATTAAGCATAACATAACTCACTACACTACTGAAGACCATAACCATAACATACTCGGCATCATAAACCGCTTCATAAGAACGCTCAGAGATTTAAACCAAGAGCGAGACTTTACCGAAGAAACAATGAAACATTTTCTCGAAGTATATAATTCCTCAACACATTCTACAACAGGACATACACCAAATTCAATGACACAACAACAAGAAGAAAAGTATATACAAAAGAAACGAAGCCAAACACAAAATATCAGAAATTCAACACAATTTACCCTCATTCCTGGTACAAAAGTTCGTGTAGTTCTTGACGACAAACCGTTGACAAAGAAACGTTTAAGGTTAAGTAGAAACTATTATATCGTAGACTCTACGCAATGTAATGGATATCTTATAAAAGCTGCTGACGACTCCATTGCGTTTTATCCTCGTCATAAATTAGTTGAAAGTAGTAATGGCAAACTTGCTGAAACCATTGACGAAGCAAAGCGAGGAGTGGTTATTGAAATACTTGGCTATAACATAAACGATGACACTTATAAAGTAAGATATGAAGGAGGCGTTGAAGATGTTATACCATCTAAGAACTTGAGAGAGTCGAAGCCAACACATCTGGGACCATTAGAGCGGGAGTACTGGAAAGATAAAAACATGCCAGAAAGAATAAGAAAAATTCTTCTAAACTAAATATATTTTATGTCTGAAGTTAATTAGTTAATAATGTAGCGGATGAACTGCAGAAATATATTTTAGTTGAGAAGGTTAGATCTAACCCGATAACTACCCTCTTGAATTTTCATGAATTTCCTTAAGATAGAAAAAATAAAGTTAGTTTTATTTTTATTTATTTTTTTATTTTGTATGTAAAGACAGTAATGTCAACATCAGAGAACACAACAACAGTTATAGTCCATGAAGCTATAAATGAAGAATACGAGTACATACAGTATAACAAACAGTTACGTCTCATTCGTTCAGTCAAAGACGATATGTACCAAATGCAAAGTATAATGAATGCTCTTCGTTCTACAAAGCAAGCATATCATTGGTTTGAAAACCAACAGACAAAATAACTTTTAGAAGAATTTCCTCATATGATTGCTTCCCTTGAAAAACCGGGGGAAGAGATTCCGTATGAAAATCGCAAGAATTTGGCTCCTGGTTTGAAAGGTTATTATGTTCATAGACTTTTAGTAAACGCTGTAGCAATGTGGACTTCACCTCGTTATGCTTGTTATATTTTCATGATGTTAGATGAACTATATAAAGCAGAACGTGGAGAGTTGGAAAAGAAACTTCAAGCAAAAGATGAAGTCATTGAATCCAAAGACAAAAGCATACAGAAAAGAATACCGCGTTCAGTACCAAAAGGAAAGGAAAAGAGTTATAAGTATATGATATATACTGAAGAGTTGGAGAAAGAAGAAGATAAAGATATGGTTATGTTACATTTAGTCAGAAGAAACAACAAGAGCTTTTATGACTTAGCTAAGATATATAAATCTGACAGAAACTGGTTCTATCGTGAAAACTTACCGATTTCAATGACACTGAATGAGCAAATAAAGGAAATTGTCAAAAATACTCTTCCTCAAACACACTATAACATCAAAGGTTGTACAATACTTACATTCAAAGAAGACTTAACATTACTGAAGGAAAAAATAACAGAATATTTCGACAACTTCAAAGAGGAAGAATGAAAAAAAATCTCGTCGGGTGCCATGTTAGGACCATAGTGGAGAAAACCACGATAAAAAACAAAACCCTTCGTCATTATTTTGTTTTTACCATTTAATTGTTTCCATAAATGCTCCGTGTCGAACATAATTGACGAAGGGAGAATTGTCTGATCGTCATTATTTTGTTTTTACCATTTAATTGTTTCCATAAATGCTCCGTGTCGAACATAATTGACGAAGGGAGAATTGTCTGATCGTCAAGTTTATTAGTTAACGGGAGGGTTAGATATATTCCATCGCAACTGAAAAATGATGACAACATGACATTTAGACAACAGTCCTGGAAATAAATTTTATCGTTAATGTTTACGTTAATGATTTCATTAATTTTTTCACGAATGTTTTCAGTGTCACCATCAGTTATTCAAAAATAAATTTTCTTATAAAGCTTCAGGGTCAATTTCTTCAACCATTTCACTTCCTTCGTCAATGTCAATAGAAGCTTCTTCAACCTTTGGTAAGAATTTCTGTATAACATCTTTGTTCGTTATTGTCTTCAGAGATGAAGGATAATATTTCACATTTGTTTCACCTTTCTTATATTCTTTCTGTTCGGAAAGATTTAAAGCAATACTGAAGAAGTCAACGTTAGAGTTCTTTATGACAGTATAATGAGTGTCTTTGACATTCACGAGGAAACTCTTTTGTTTCAAAACTACTGCTAACTCTTGTGAAGTATAACGTTTGCGGTCAATGACGATAGCTAATGGTCTGACATACTGACCAAACTTAGATTCTTTCACAAACTTCTTGTTAAAGATAACATTAACATTTGAAGCTTTATTGAACTCATTCTTGATGGTAGTAGCGAGAGCATTGTATGAAAAGAACTTGCAATCTTGCATGTGTTTCATTAAAATAAAAATATTAAATTATTTTGAAAAATAACTTTAAAAAATCTAATCTAATTTTTTCAAAAAATATTTTTTTTATTTCCTACTAAAGATGTATCGGAAGTTGTCTAAGTTAGAACACTCGGAAATACAACAACTTCTTACAGAAGCTAATATAGATGTTGCAAAGCATTACGCAACAAACAAAAAAGCACTCGCTGACATCCTCAATGACTATAATGGTGCAATAAGTTATGATAGAATTCATGAGTTCATAAAGCCGCAACGCGGCGAGGACGAAGTCCATGCAAGAGCATTTCCTTTAAATGACGTTGCTATTGACTTATATCATAGACGTTCAGTACCTCATGAAGTAAGAAGAGAAATGTTTGACATAACAAATGCAAACGTTGGTGAAACAAGAAGAAGAGACGACACACTGAAACAACAGAGAAGAGAGATGTTTAAGAGCGCTATAGAACAAGTTCGCAAAGCTAACGATGTCCTTCGTTCCATTGACGACAAACCAAAAGAAGGTGAGAGATGGTTAAAGAAAGATGAAGAGAATAGGAAGAGGAATGTTAAGACAGGCAATAGACTCATTGACTTTAACATCGAAGCTTTAGATGAACCAAACAGAGACTACTTACACAAACATTTCGGTAAGGTTTTCATGAGACTCTTAGAGAAGATTAAAATAAACTCCCAACAAAGATGGATGGTATGTTATAAACTTGGTGGAAAGTATGAATGTTCTACGTTAAACCTCAATAATATTGGAACATTACTACATCAGCTCTTGAAGGAGAACTTTATATCAGAGATAGAAGCAAATGCCGCAGGTATTGTTGAAATGCACTATGACTTCTTCTTGACAAACATAAAGAATATTACTGAAATAAAGATGTATGATTTAACAGAATATGAAGGCTTAACGATGTCAGATGTAAAGAAAGGCAAACCAAAAAAGAGACCATATAGAGATGAAAGCACACTGACAAATGACCAGAAAGCCATTTTGGAAGCTCTTAAGCAAACAGGAAACCCAGCACTTATAGAAAGCTTTTGGAAAGATAATGGTGAAAAGAAGTTTTATAAGAAGAGAAGCGGTCAGTTCTGGAAGTATCTTTGCACATTACCTATAAATCTTGAACGCTACCAAATCTTCAATGAACTGAACAAAAGAACTGCAACACTTATGACAGAAGATAACTGCTTCGTTTATGCTTGCATTCAGGCTGGAGTAAATGAAGAAACTATTGACCACATGAGAGAAGTCATTCGTGTTAGAGACTTTCCTCAAAGTAAAGTACAAGAAATTTCTGACGCAACAGGTATAGCATTTAATGTTACCATTGGTTACTTCAATGACTCAAGACATAATGAAATAAAGAGATACATACCAAAAGAATGTGAAACTGTTCGAACTATTGACTTACTTCTTGTTGAAGACCACTACATGCTAAATGAAAGATTACCAATGACAACATATTTCATTCGCAACTATATAGAAATCTTGAAGGAGTGTGGTGGAATGAACATTGAGAAACAGATGAAGATTTATACAAAGAGAGAGAACAAATATGTAGTTCGTTATGATAGAACAACACCGTTATGGGATGTTATGAAAACATTGTGGGAGTGCAAATATTTCGAACCTATTTCTTATGGAGAACTTTTCACATATACGACTGACTTATATAAACAGAACCTTGCACCATTTAAAGATTTGACATATGCTCCAAAGTATTGTGTACAACTGAAGAAGAAAGCCGAGTCAAAAGAAGTAAATAAAGCTAAATGTAAGTTCATTCCTGAGCACGTTTTCTTTGCTGACTTTGAATGTAGCACTGATGGAGTTCATAAAGCCTTTAACATTTGTTATGACAGTGAAGATGGTTCAGTGAGTGAAAGCATTTGGGGTCAGAACTGTGCAACAGAATTTTTGGAACGACTTCCTGACAAGAGTTTAATATATTTCCATAACCTCAGTTATGATATAAACTTCATCTTAAGACACATGACAGAAGTGAAAGGAACTCCCATCATTAAAGGTTCACGAACAATGCAGATAACGGGAATATATAAAGGTAAAGCAATCATTATTAAAGATTCATACACTGTTATAAATAAGAAGCTTAAACTATTTCCTGAAATCTTTCATTTACAGTGTGGTGAAAAGGAAGTATTTCCGTATCAATATTATTCAAGCTCTATATTAGCAAATGACAACAGAACTGGTGTCATTTCTGAAGCGTGTAAGTTTGTAAAAGATATTGATACGTTCATGAAAAACATAGATTCCATCAAAGGTTGCAGAATAGATGAAAACCACTTCGACTTAGAAAAGTATAGCACATTTTATTGCAAACAAGATGTAAGAATTTTAAGAGAAGGTTTTGTTAAGTTCCGCAATGACTTATTGAAAGAGTTTGATTTAAACGTTTATGACTACGTTAGTATTTGTTCTATTGCTAACAAATTGTTTGAGAACAGAGTATACTTCCCGAATGGAAATCTTTATGACCTCTCAAATAAACCAAGAGAATTTATTTCAGACGCATTCAAGGTGGAAGATGTATGTTGTCAGATAACATGAAACAAAAGAGCGAAAAGAAACTCATTGCTGACTTCGACGCTGTTTCATTATATCCATCAGCTATAGCAAGACTTTATACTTTAGAAGGAATTCCAAAGGTTATGAAGAAAGAAATGTAAGCACAGAGTATCTCATGAGACATTTATTCGATGACGACCAAAAGGAACCCATTGGTGAAAAGTTTATGTCTGGCTTCTTTGTTCTCATTAAGATAAAAGAGATTGGAATACATAGACACTTTCCTTTAATAGTTTGTGACCCTGAACTAAATCCAGAACTTAACGTTCCCAGAAGTTCAAACACTTGCTGTTTAATGTATGTTGACCATATAACATTACAAGACCTCATAAAATATCAAGGTGTCAAATGTGAAGTGTTGCAAGGATACTATTACGATGGAAACAGAGATATTAGAATAAGAGATGAAGTAAAGAAGTTGTTTGAGTTAAGGTTAAAGTATAAGAAAGAAGGAAATCCTTTGCAAGAAAATATAAAGCTCATTCTGAACAGTATTTATGGCAAAACTATTCTATCTCCTATTGAGTCAAAAATAACCATAGTAAATGACAAAGATGCTATAAGATATGCCATCAGAAACTACAACCATATAGTGAAGTTCGAAGGTTTGGATGGTTCAGATAAAACTATTTTCAAGCTAACGAAAAGCATTTGCAGACACTTTAACTTCTGTACACTTGGTGTTAATATTCTGTCAATGTCGAAGAGAATAATGAACGAAGTATTCTGTACTGCAGAAGATATGGGACTTCAAATATTTTACCAGGACTGTGATAGCATGCATATTTTCAATGAAGACATACCAAAGCTTGCAGCAGAGTTTAAGAAGAGATACGGTCGCGAACTTATAGGAAAGAACCTTGGTCAATTTCATTCTGACTTCGCAGAAATAACACCTGGAAAACAAAGTTTAGGATACAAGTCAATATTTTGTGGAAAGAAGACCTACATAGACTTACTCACTAACGATTTAAATGAAGTTGCATTCCATGCACGTTGCAAAGGTGTCAAACAAGACGTCCTTGCTTTAACAGCAAATGAAATGTTTCCTGAAGCTATACAATGCTATTACAATGAAGATAAGAACATTCACATACCTGTTGGAACATATGACAAAGACTCTGAGTTCAGTTTAATGAAACTTTACAAAGCACTTTATGACGGTCAAGAGATTGGATTTGACTTATGTAAGTCTGCTACACCTGCATTTGAAGAGAAGTTTAACTTTTCTATTCAGACTAAGACTTCAGTCATAAGAAAGCTTAAGTTCTGAGGTCATGAATGAGAAAAATAATGAGGTCATTTATTTTTGTCAGCAGTGAGGTCATATAAGATTATATTGACGTTTGAATGCACTGTATGAAATTTTTGTAAGTTTTCCTTTTACAGTCCATGCATTTACATACAGAGTTCCACATTTATTGTTTTCCATTACATGAAGCTCTCTATAGCGAATTCCATTAAAGAAATAGAAGAGGTCTTTTCTGGGTCATAGTATAAATCATCGAACTCATGTTTTCCATATGTTTTAACTTCAATGGAGTTTTCACCAATTTCATCTACATAGTTATAATTTATACCATTTGCTTTACATCTGTTTTTATTGTTTTGTTGTGATGTTACATATCTTAAATTTTCTATTCTACTGTCTGTTCGTATATGATTTATATGGTCTACTTGAGGTAAGTTGTCTGGGTTAAGTATGAATTGTTCTGCTATAAGTTTGTGCTTGAAGTATTTTTGACCGTTTAAACATAACCTATAATATCCATCGCTCATCCATTCACTCACAATTTTTCCTGTAGATTTTTTCCTAATATTGTGTGGATATTCTGTGTTAATTTCATAGTCATTGTCATGTTCGAGTGTTTGCCAATGTCCTTCACCTTCCATGCCTTTCACTCAAATAAAATTTTCAGAAAAAAATAAAACTAGCGTAGATTTTACAATACTGCGATGGTAGAGTTTAAGAGTTGTGCTTCAATGTAGAGACAGTCCTTATGGTCTGGAGGTAAGAACACTGGGCAGTTATGGTCATGAGTGGAGAACATGTCTATCCAAAACTCACGATTGAAGCCAGTTAATTTATAGTATTTAGGATTAGGAAGTGGTGAAGTTCTTGTATGACCAATGAACTCATTTTCAACTCCCTTACTTAAGTTTGAATATAATATAGCTTGCTTTCTATCCCAAATGCCAGGTGTTACAATCTTTGAAAATTCATTTTTCCTCGGAAGCATTGCATCATAATTGAAAACATTTTTGAAATCATCACTTGGTTCAGAGATTTGAAATCTTATACGTAATGGATTTTCTTTCTTTTTAGCTACTTCATTGAATGGTGAATATATAACAAACTGACAGTCATGAGTTCCATCTTCATTTTCATTAAATTCATAATGAAAGTCTATAAGTTGTGGCCGACTACCTTCTTCTTTCAGTTGTGCAAGAAACTCACGTAAAGGCTGTAAAGTTTGTACTTCAATGTTGAACTTTTTCTCGAACATCTCATTAAATGAAATCATACATTGCAACAATGTTGTATCGTCTTTAAAGTATTTGTATATGTGAATGTTTTGGGCGCTTAAAGACTGTTCGTCATTTTCTATCTCGACTTGAAGTATAAAGTCAACCTTTCTGAAAGCACGTGTTATATACATAGATGTTATGCCAATGTACTTCTCTTCATTTATGTTCACAATCCAGTCTGTTGGAAACTTAAACGTTACTCTGTTCCCCTTTATTTTGACGTCAGGGTTTTCACTACTGAACGCAACAGATAAAGGTATTTGTCTATACATTTAGTTCCGATAAAAATAACACATTTACTCTTTCTTTGCTTCAGCTTCTTTAGCTTTTGCTTCAGCTTCTTCTCTAGCTTTCTTCGCCAGCAAACGTGGGTTCTTCTGTCTTCCAGCAGCTAATGCAGCAAGTTGTTTTTCACTAAGTTTTCTCTTTGGTCTCTCTGGCTTTTGTTCTTGTTTTTGTTCCTTCAGTTCGGATAAAATTTGCTCACGAATTTCTTTCTTCAATGCTTCAACATCTATGACCCCTTGGGTCTTGTCCGTAGGGCTTGTCTGAGTCATTTGACTGCAGATAAAAAACAAAATTAAAACTTTAACCGATGTAAAATGAGCTTGTCAAAATCAGAGCGAGAGTCTATTATATTAAATGACGCAAGAGGAATACAACATCCTTTCTATTACGTAAGTCAGAGTAAAGATGGTAAAATATACGTAAGAAAAAGAAAGGTTCCATTAGCGAATGCAGAAAGCGACAACATTAAGGTGCATGGCACCGAGGGCGAAGCCCATGTTAAGCCTTCTATTCAAACTGAAAAGTCAATAGAACCAGAAGAAAAGAAGCCAGATGTACTTTCAATAACGAACCAAGAGCTTATTGCAAAATTCGTGAATTTCATTGAAAAACAAACCGAGTCAAAGAACCCTGACCCGCCAGTGAAAGAAGTTGAGACAAAAGAGAATGTATAGTTCATTGAAAATGTCAAGAAACAACTTCCACCACGAATGCCAAGAAGAAGAGTGAGAATAATGAAGTAAATAGATATTTTTATCTGAAGTAAATACATGCAGAACGAACAGCTAAACGAATTTACTCCAGCAGAGCATATTCATCAGATTCGCTCATATTTCGATATCATAGACAATGCAGTTCAAATTGGTGACACTAATAGAAAATATTCTGACGCAAAGATTCCATCACAACCTGGAACTGCTAAAGATAACACATGGGTAACATTCAATCTCTCACCTCCTGGTGAAAATATGTTGGACCTTTACAATACATTCATTACGTATAAAATGGAAGGTCAATTTATTGTAGATAAAGAAATTGGTTCAGGTTCCAATAAAACAACCCCACCAGGATTTTGGATTGGTTTCGATGACGCTTTCTATGCAGTTGCTGGATATCAAATCCTTGCAAATGGTCGTATCGTATATTCTCAAGACAACGCAAGAGAAGAAGCATATATAACTTCAAACTCACAAACTACCGAACAAATAAAGAAAGTAGATGTTTTCTCAAAGACTCGACATGAAGATGTATGGAGTCATTCGGGAACATGCAGAACAGGACAAATTGTTAGTGGTCCAATTACAGCAGGAAAATCATTTGATTTTAAGCTTCGTTTAAGAATTCCTGTTAGAAGATTCCTTCCATTAGAAGCTATTCGATTTATTCCAGCTTTTGCAGGAAACATTCAGCTTAAAGTAAAGTTCAGTAGCGACGCCTTACAATGCACATCTATATCTGTAAATGATATCATTGCTTTCAATCCAACTCTTAAAGTTGCATTTGCTGCAGATTCAAATCCACCGACAAATAAATTTGTTCCATGGAATGAACCATTCACTATGATAACGAAGGCAGTAGAAGCTAGTGGAACAGTTACTATTACAACTGTAAACCAGCAACTATTTCGAACAAAGATGGATTTTAATGAATGTTTCATTCATCCAAAGTCATTCTCTTTAGACCCTAACATTTATACAGAACTTGTAGAACATTATACAAATGAGGCTTTATGTTTTCCTGTTAAAGTTATGGATTGGATTCCTATGGACGGTTCATTCTCAAAGAATACAGATAGTTCAAGTGCAACATTTACAGCAGCTTATACGCCTATTAATGTTAAAAGTATTTGGGCACTATTTAGAAAGAAAGACAACTATTATGTTAATTTTGAGAACCCTAAGTTTAAATATCTTCAGCTTTCCATAGGAGCTTATGGAAATATGCCTGCAGAACCCGAAAAATCATATGGACCTGTATTTTATGAAATGGTTGCGAACGCCTGCAATACAAACAATGATATGATAGGATTTAATGAAGATGTTATGAGGTCATTGGTGGATGATGGTAGTGTGGAACATAAATGGGATAGCTATGACAACACACATTTCTTATGTGGTTTTCCAACAGAAGTGGACTTTTGCTTCCAGCAAGGTCAAACATCTACTGCTCCAATAACATACAAATTGTCTGTTAAAGGACCTATTGAACTAGCAACTGAAAATGTACCAAAGCCACTTATTGGATTTATGAGGGATTGTTGCTTTGCCATTCAGGTGCGTGCTAATGGAATCCCAATAATAAGATTAGATGACTATAACTTAGCTACGGACGACGGTGAGGAATAAAGGATGAACGTTTATTTTTAAAGCTTATAAATGAGTTCTTCATCAAGCTCTCGTGAACCTTCACCATCTATGAAACAAACTTTACCAAACGATTATGGAGCACCTATTGAATATTTCTTACGAGCTGCACAATGGCAAAGAGCAGTCTCACCAAGGTTAGGTGTTCCACCAGCTCCTGTCAAAAATAGCATTTGGTCAAGTCCTTATATAAGATATGGTCTCCCACTAGGTTTGCTAGCTACAGCAGGAGCAGTTATGATGTTGAAAAGAAATAAAGCAAATGTTGTAAATAATACTGAAGTAGCTGAAGTTAAACAAACTCCAACACCTTCGCCAAAACCAACGCCTTCACAAGCAAAACCTTCAATGACTCCTGAACCTATGGAAGTACAAACTCCTGTTCAAAAGTCAACTCCTAAACCGACTCCAACATTTAAACCAGAACCTACTCCTCAAATAAATCGTAAAACTCCTGCGTTTCCTTACTGAAAAAATAACGTTATTTTTATTTAATATTAAAATTTTTATTTGATTGAAATGACAAATAAAGTCACTGAAGCAATGAAACAAAAGTTTTTGGTAGAATACATTAAATCAGGAACTATTCCAGAAGGTTTTTACATTCATACTATGAAGGATGGTAGAGTTCAGTTTAGAAAGATAAAGCAACCATTAGATAGAGAAGGTATATTAAGGAAGATTAAACTTCATGAGGACAACATTGCTGAACTTAAGAAGAAGTTAGAAGAGTTGGAGAAAGGAAGAGAGTTATAAAGCAATGAATTCAACAGGGTGAAAAACCGGGTGAAAAAAGAGGTGAGATTTCACCACTTCACCTAAATTTATTTTTGTGCTATGTTTTCATACATGTGAGGGTGGTGATATCATTAATTTTTAAGTTTATTTTTTATTTTTTTTATATAAATGACGAAAACTATTGAGATAACAAACTACAACGGTCATGAGTTCAAGAATTTGTTCTTCGTTCCTCGTGAAAATACATTCTATCAGATACGAGGGAGAAAGGGTAAAGTTAGTTTGAGCGTTTATGAAGGAATGAAGAATGGAAAGTTTATACAAGCATACGATACAAACGGTAAGCGTGTTTCATTAGCTTTGTCAAAACTTACTAACATTTATTTTGACAGTGACTTTGACTCTGACGATTGGAGCGACAGCAGCGATACTGAAGAATATGAACTAGTGTGTGAAGCACAGCAATGGAAGAGTTGCAATACTTTTGTAAGTGAGAACGTTTATTTTTTACAGTAGTGAAGTCGTTTGTGAAAACGTTAGTGAGGTGAAGTGGTTGGCGGCTTTATAAATATTTAAGGTTAAGTTGGTGTTTGTGTTTGTGTTGTAAAATATACGTTAACGGTTTTGTAAAGTGTCAAATTCACATATAATGGGTAAGGAGGCTCGCAGTGCCTCCGTACACATTATATGTATACTAACTTCCTTCCATTTTGGAAGAATTCGGAACAACTTTGCGAATTGATAGTGTAAACCCATATACATGAAAGCGTGCATGCATAAAGACAGGTATTGTCAGCAATGACTACCTGCCCAGCTATGAGTGATCAGAGAATTACCATTTCAGGCTTTTTGAGAACGTTTCAGCCAGGACCCTCGTATGTTGACTGTGAGAAAGGCATCCTTTATCTGAAATAGATGCTTTTCCAACAATCAAATTCGAAGATCTTCGACGTTGTTGTAAAAAGAGAAGGAGAAGGAAAGAAGAGGAAGGAGAGGAAAAAGGAAAGGAAAAGAAGAAGAAGAAAAGAGAAAAAAAAGAAGGACATATATTAAATATAATGCGCACTTAATAGTGCCGAGGCGGCGGAGCCGCCGAGGCGCGATTTTTTTTTGACCCTATATTACCGCACGGCAATGTTTTTCTCGATTTTGTACAGCCCTAGTAAAAAGAGTATAAAAAGGATAATTTTTAATAATTTACTGGTCTTTTGACAAAATGAATTCTCTTGCAAGTGTGAAAACACCATCAACTGCTTCTGGTTCGACGTTTTCTGGCTTGTCAAGCATTGTATGATAAACAGGTTGGTAGTTTCCAACAGTCCATGGTAAGCCAATTAAAGTTGTTGTGCGAACACCATGTCTAGCAGCTTCAGCAGCATCTGTTCCGCCAAGTAATAACAAAAGATCTTTCTGGTTGACTTGGAGATTGTTCTTCTTACCGATTTCAATGATATCATCAACCATCTTTTGGTCAAGAGGCTGGAATCCATTGATATCTGACTTAAGGAGGGTCAATTCTTTGAGGAAGAATGGTGAGTCGACGTTGAAATTGTAAGCATCCTGGTATTCCTTTGCATGAGCGTCCCAGAAAGCTCTTGCACCACGAAGTCCGGCTTCTTCGCCATCGAATGATGCAATAACGACTCTTGTGTTCTTAGGTCTGTGCTCTGAGAAGTACTTAGCAAGTTCAACACCGATTGAAGAAGCAATTAAATTATCTCCTGCACCTGGTGTGCCTGTGTTCTTAACAAAGTTCCAAGATGAGAGAGCAATTGGTGTGTAGAATAGGAAGAATATGTTCATCTTGCGAGAAAGGGCTGGAATTTCTCCAAAGAAATTGAATTGTCCCTGTCCGCTTTGGAATAATAAGAAGGACTCGTAGAACATGGCAAGCGAGAAGACCAATGGTGTTAAAAGGCCCACCGCTGCTCTGATAATAAAAAGATTTGGAAGGAACTCGTAAAAGCCAAAAATGAATGCGCTATCATGATGACCTGAGTATACAACTGTATTCTTAACTTCTTCTGTTGGCTCAATAATACCATAAACATTCTTTCCAATCTTTTCTGGGAAAAATCTATCTGCAAACTTCATAAATAAAACATTTTCAAATACGTAATACATAACTATCAACATTTCAGAAAGAGCACCGAATATAGGTACATTCATCCATGCCAAGATGATCGATATTACATAAAGGACATCAGCTATCTTTACCCAAGAGAGAAAAGCCTTTGGATTCACTTTAAATGTCTCCAACTTTGTGGTATCACAATAATTTTCCATATCTTTTTTAAGATACTCCGCAGCTTTGTGTGTTGATTCGTCACCGCATAAACGTGGTCCATATAATTTTATAATCTCTTCAACTCTTGTTAAAGCAGAAGTTGCCGCTTCTGAAACACTCATTCAATTGTGACTTGATTTTTATTCAATTTCAACGATCATTATGATCGTCAATCGCTTTTGATAAAAAGCTGATAATAATGTGTCCAATACAGTTATCATCAGGATTTCAACGAACATTCGGAATCACTTTCGGAAAATAATAGTAGTAGGATATGATGGGCTTTGTGACTTTTATTGTTACATCTATATATAGACGATGCATTAAAATATATTTATTTATAAACCATTAAAAAAAATTAACATTAATTTTAAAATAATTTATTTTTTTATTCTTACATAAATGACCCAACAAGTAAAACCAGATAAAATAGATTATCGAATTTTAGAGGATGGTGTTCCTGTTTATATTCAAAGATTTAAAGGGAAGCAATATTATAGAATTGTTAATCCTGAATACATAAAACATTTATTTAAAAAGGAAGACTGTGAATTATTAAACGTTAATGAATATGAAACCAATAAATCAAAATTGAAATATAAATATATTGGAAGTGATGAAAGATGCAAAGATAAAGATAAAGTTTATACAGTTTCATATAATGAATGGAAAACTAATAAGATAAGAAAACATTTAGGAGATTATGGGAAATGTTCTGAATTCTTTAAATCTAGTATGTATGAGAGAGTAAAAGAAATTAGAAATAATTATTTTCATGAATAAAAAATAAACTTTAAAAATTCATGTCTTACATTTTCACATCTTCTATATATAGATGATATAAAAATTTTTTCTTACGTTTTTAAGTCATGAATTCGTAAGAAAGCGCGACATTATTAAATAAATTAGTAATAAATATTATATACTAAACACATTAAAAAATTAACATTAATTTTAAAATAATTTATTTTTTTATCTTTTATAAAAGAAGCTATATATAGATGATGTCAGATATTCCGCGATTAATTAAACATTGTTTAAATCCTGAATGGGTTAAACTTCAATTTAAAAATGAAGATTGTGAATTATTAAATGAATATGAAAGCCAAAATAAGCTAATGATTATTTGAATTTATGAAATCAATTATTTGATTCATTCTTTCTTCAATCTCTTCTATTCTTTTTGTTAAATCATCTATTTTCATTAATGATGTGATTCTTGATTGAGGAATAGATTTCAAACTAACCACTCCTTTTATTTTTGAAATTTTGAATCCATCAACTTTAAACATTTTATTCAATTTACACGTTGTCAATTCTTCAGAGAAAGGGACAGACTAGCCCATTGTCACTTTTTAATTTAGCAAATGAACGCTTATGGAGTGGAGTTTTTGGGTAAATCTGATTTGCTTATAAATGAAATAAAATCAAAAGAAACCATATTGGCATTATATTATGCAAAAATAAATGATCTTACTTAGTACTTTTAAAGTTAATTTCAGAAAAAATTTGACACAATGGTATCCGGCACATACAAGTGGTGTACAACCAAAATATAAGTTAGTTTAAACATATATTGCTATATCTCATGATCTTACTTAGTACTTTTAAAGTTAATTTCAGAAAAAATTTGACACACTGGTATCCGGCACATACAAGTGGTGTACAACCAAATCTTCGACTCGATGAACTTGTCATCGAGTTATATTCCAGTGTTGTTCCTTCATTCCTGATTAAGTTGCAAATTAAAGGTCTGGATTCAGAGAGAAGTGTTAAAGTTATCAAAAAAGTCACAAGAGATTTCGAAGAAATGACACAATTTAAAAAAGTCGAATGCATCAGTATGCTTGAAGCTGTTCAGAAAGGTCTGAAAAATGATACACTTGATCCCAACATTGTTTACTCAACATTAAAAATATTATTGCAAAGAAAACATTTGATTTAATAAACATTTAATTTATTATAATTAATTTTTTATTACAGTATAGTAAAAAATGCTATAAATAAATTATTAGGCAAAATCGCAACCGAATTTTTAAATCTAGATTTTGATGATAAATTGTGATTTTTAGCTTAAATCGCGATTTTTTAAAAATCGCGAACAGAATTTTTTCGCGATTTATTAATAAATCGCGATTTGAACGATAAATTTCGATTTTTTAAAAAAATCGCGATTCGGGAAAAAATTGCGACTTTTTGAAAAATCGCGAACTTTCAAAAAAATCACGTCCTTAATTTTGGTCTTTTTCGGAGTGATAAGTCGTCCTTTAAGTAATATTTTTTTTCTCGAATTGCTAATTGAAAAATTAAATTCGAGAAAAGAGATTACAATAGTATTGTATGGACTATAATACATTAAAACCAAAAATAATTGTTATAATTTAAATGAAGAAGTAATTTAAAACGATTTTATTTATGATCAAATTTTATATATTTTTTTGGATCAAATCCATTTTAATAGAATTTATATACTATTCATCTATTAGTAAACACTACCGTATATTATTTTTTAAGCTATCTTATTTTTTGAAATTTTATTCAAATCTTTGGTCGCAAGAAGAATTGCATGATAAATAAAAACATTTAATCAAAGTCAATTTTATTTTTCATATTCAAATGGACTGAGTGTTAACATTTAACATTTTTTGCTAATTGTCGTCAAAATTAGGCGTAAAGCAAAAATTGATATTTCATATGGTTTTATGATAGATAAGCATTATATTCCCACTCATTATATTCGTAAATTTTGAGGTTTATCATTCGCTTTTAAGATCATTGAATTTGATTTTTATATAAAATAGTTATATATTAGAAAATAATATGAGTTTATGTGATATTTTTTTCAGAAGATTTCATTCTATATGCCTATGAAAAGTACTCTCAAAACTAACTTTTTCCTAATTATAATTAAATCTAGAATATTGTATTATGCTTAGTATTATTTCATTTTTCTCATTCAATTTAGAATTTACAAATGTCAAAAAATTGAGAGCTGTCACTTTTGATGAATTTCTGTTTATTTTATTCGAATGGATGTTAGTTTTTATGATATTTCTATTATACTATATATGTCAAATCATTGTATAATATATATATAAGATAAATAGCCCGAATTTTTTAGTAGTAGATGAGTGCGGGTTGTGTGACTTTTTTTGTTACATCTATATATAGACGATGCATTAAAATATATTTATTTATAAATCATTAAAAAATTAACATTAATTTTAAAATAATTTATTTTTTTATCTTTTATAAAAGAAGCTATATATAGATGATGTCAGATATTCCGCGATTAATTAAACATTGTTTAAATCCTGAATGGGTTAAACTTCAATTTAAAAATGAAGATTGTGAATTATTAAATGAATATGAAAGCCAAAATAAGCTAATGAGGTATAAATATAATGATAAAGAATATTTAATTTCATGGAATCAATGGAGTCATAATCAAAGACCTCAAAACGAGAAGAAGAAATTGAAAATAATGAAATGGAAATCATTGATGACATTAAAGAGGATGGAATTCCTAAATTTTGTAGAAAACCTTTAGAACTAAGTTAGGAGCATATAAACGTAGAGTATTAAATCCTGAATATCTTAAACATTTATTTAAAAAGGAAGACTGTGAATTATTAAACGTTAATGATTATGAAAATGCAAAATCAAAACTGAGATATAAATATATTGGAAGTGATGAAAGATGTAAAGATAAAGATAAAGTTTATACAGTTTCATATAATAACTGGCACACGTTAGGGATAAGAAAACATTTAGGAGATTATGGTAAAAGTTCTGAATTCTTTAAATCTAGTATATACGAGAGAGTAAAAGAAATCAGATATAATTATCATTCATGAATGAAAGATTCACTACCATAATGAAATAAAAAAATAGATTTTAAACATTCATGTCTTACATTTATGAATAATTTATTTTTATTTTGTATGAAACCAATATTAAAAATTCATGTCTTACATTTTTTGAATAATTTATTTTTTTAATTCGTATGAAAATGAGTGGATCAAGATTCGTAACCGTCAATCAATTAATGGATGTTCTTTCACCAATTCTTGAAAATGTTAAACAAGTAGATGTTTATTTCGATGATTATGTAGAAAGTATATATTATAAAGGTAAGTTTAATATTAAACCTATTGCTTTTGCATTTGATAATAAATTAATTGAAAATGCAAAAATTTGGGAATTAATTCCAGATATTGAATTTATAACAAATATTAATGATAAATGGTTTAACGAATTCCAACCACAAAAGTTCTTTGTAAATTAATGATCAAAACTGAGGAAAAAGAATTTAACGGGTTTAAATATCATCCAATAAAGTTTCAGAACTAGAAAATGAAAAACTTCCGAAAAAATTAAACGATAGACTTTCAAATGATCGTATTGAAAAAATAAATAAACTAGCAGAAGTTGCATTTAATAATGAAATATTTGATGAATATAACCTTGAACTCAGTGATGGACTTTAAGTCCTGGGCACTTTGTGCCTTGAGCTTTAAGGACCCGGGCTCAACGAGTCATGATTTATGAAATCAATAATTTGATTTATTCGCTCTTCAATAATTTCTATTCTTTTTGTTAAATCATCAATTTTCATTAATGAGGTGATTCTTGATTGAGGAATAGATTTTAAACTAACAACACCTTTTATTTTTGAAATTTTGAATCCATGACCTCCGGGTCTTGGACTCTGTCCTCAACTTTAAACATTTTATTCAATTTACATGTTGTCAATTCTTCAAATAATTTTTTATTATTAGCATAATAGTCCATTAAATTCATCAACAATGAAAAAATTTTTATTTCAGTAATTGGTTTAACAACGTTTATTTTTGTTGAACATTTTCACTTTCATTTATTTCTTCCTCCTCTGTTTCATTTATTTTTAAAATCGGTTTCATTTATCATTAATAAAAAAATTAGAATATAAGTGATGAAATATATTTTTTAATTAATATTAAATCAGAGATGGCGGCAGGATTCTTTAAAAAATTATGGGAAGGAATTAAGAAAGCTGCAAGTTGGGTTCATCAAAAGATTATTAAACCCGTTGCAAACTTTTTGGCACCAGTAGCGAAAACGGCAGGAACTATCATAGGAGGAGTATTAGGTGCTAAAGCAGGTAATCCGGCGATGGGAGCACAAGCAGGTAACGCAGTTGGTGGAATTGCTGAAGGAATACTTAATAAAATAGGGGTAGATAGTGGAAAAATAAATAAATATTATTTTTATCTTAGTATCGGTTGTAGTCGACGATAAACCTTATCTCCTTTATTTAATACTTCCCTTACCGGAACATTAGGTGCTATTTGTTCAGCAACGTCACTAATTGCTTCTTTATTCTTAAATATCCAATTTGCTCCTTTCTTAATTTCCCAAACTTTATGCGCTCCTCTTTTTACTTTATCCCACAGTTTCTTAAAGAATCCTGCAGCCATAGTTGATTATTTCATTAAAATTAAAAATTCATTTTCATCTTTTAATTTTGATTTTTTATTTAATAATAAATGACGACTAACTATTTAGTGCCAAACACTAAACCGATTAATGGAAATGTATTTCATTCATTCGAAAAGATAAATGAAATATTCGCAAAGAATGATGGAAGAAGATATTATAGAGAACTTGAAAGTTCATGCTATGACTCTGATGCTCCATATTTTGATGATAAACAAACTCATTTAAGAATTACAAATCCGGCTCATGATGTGAACCAATTAGGTGACACATATATTAAACGCAAAGTTAAAGCAACTCTAGTTTCAAATAAAGCTTTCACATGTGATGCCGCTTTTAAATGCATGCGTTTATTCGTTGGTTATAAATCATCAAATCAAAGCTTTAAGCAATTAGAAGTAGAAACCGAAAGAGGTGATGCTGGTTATCTTCAGATGGATTGCGCCCGTGAATCTTTCGCATTTGCAACATATAAACCAAAATCAGAAAGGAAAGTTAAAAAGTTTGTTCATTCGTTATATAATAATGTTCAAAAATATGATAACTCAGTATGTGGTAAATATATTGACCCTTCAGAAGTTTTCAAGAAAGCAAATGAAGAAGTTGATGTCACTTTTGATATGATTATTCCGGTAAATGATTTGTTAGCATTTCAGGCGTTCGATGATTATCCTAAATCATTTGGTGAAATCATTCTTAAATATTATGTTTTCAGGGATACTTTAGTATTTTGTCAGGTTGACCCGTTAAGAGTTGCTGATTTACAAAATTACGTTTATGAAAAGATAACTGATGAAAATTATGAAAAGATTATGAATCATGTTTATAAATATGATCGCAAATTCCAACAAATCGGACTTCCTGCCAAATTAATTACAAGCTTAGCCGCTACATCTGCTGACGCAACAGTTGAAGACGTTATTATTTCATGCACAAAGATGGAAGTTTTAGAGGATAAATGCATTACACCAGGATACGGTTTAATTGAAGAATCAGTTAAAGCAATACCACGTTTATTTAGTAAGGAAGATCCATTCATGATTCCAGCTCAACATATTGACGTTCGTTCACTAAATGGAGGTTGCATCACTCCTGAAGGTATTAGCTCAGATTTCTCATACGCTCTTCATAATGTTACAGATGTTGTGTTAACATTTCCGAAGAATGCAATGCAAAGAACGGTTTTAGAAAATCCAATGCTTCGAGGTCTTCAGGTCACTATAGATTCCAGAAACTTCCCCGATCAAGCGATGACCACAGTGGGTGACATATTCTTTACACGTATGCTTCAAGCTTCTGATTTAGATGGAGTGAATGAATGCACAGAAGAATACGAGGACTCATTAACTAGACCACTGAATGATGATGATGGCACACCATTAGCTAGAACATGGAAAGACCAAACTTCATTCTTATGCACTATTCCAGTTCAACGTGATGGAGCGGGTATATTCTTTGATGGATTAGAAACTTTCAACTCACAAGTTACAGTACAAGTGAAAGCTTATCCAATCATTCAGGGTGAAAATGACACTTACTGTTCAAAAGTGACAAATCCTCCTCAGGTTTGGTTTACTAGGACTACATATTGGACATGGACACCGGATGAAGGTTTGAAATATCATCCAACAGGTACACCACCGCAGTATAGAAGTTCATATGATGAAATATTGATGAATAGAAATGTTTAAAATTATAAATTTATTTTTGATTAAATGGATTTAAATTCATCCACCCCTTATGAAGAATTAGCAGGAGTATATAATACATACGTAGATGATATGATTAATGAAGCATTGAGTGATAATAGAAATGCTCTATCTAAGGAAAAATTAATGAAAATTCCATATTCTGAATGTTACTTAAATTCAATCACTGCAGCAATTGGTAAACAAAATAAAGGTAAAACATTAACGATATTAAAACAAATTATCATTATTGCTAACACTTCACCCTATTCACATGTGTTAATTTATATCAACCGTTCAGGTTCACCTTCAGATGATACATTTGAATCTTTAAAGCATTTAATCAAAATTCCAATTATTTATTTATCACAAGAAGAAGCAGAAGATTATTTAAAAAACTTTGTAATGTATAAAGAATTATATAATACAATCAAGAAGCAAGGATTAGAGGATAAAATTATTGATAAACAACGGGATGAATTATTTGAAACACTTTCTATTTCAAATTTTGATAGAGAATTTTTGCATTCACTCATTTTTCTAGATGATGCGGTGAAATCAAAACTAATAACTAATGAGAAATCATATTTTAATCAATTATTAACTCAATGTCGACACATTCAGTGTTCATTCTTCATGGCTGTTCAATACTTTAAAGCATTAAGCACAAACATTAAATCAAACCTGTCCACCCTTTTCATTTTCAGTGGTTTTAGTCGTCAACAGTTGAACGTTATGCTTTATCAAGTGAATTTACCAATGAGCATTAATGAACTTTACACACAATATCAACAATTAGGAGAACATGGAAAAATAATAGTTGATTTAAATAAAGGTTCCATTAAATTCGAATAACTTTTTATAATTAATTTTTATTTTTTATTTATAATTAAACATGACAGAAATTGCAAATCTTCTACAGGTTCCATTAAAACAAGGAACAAACAAAAAGGGTGCATATAATAGAACTATGAAAGTTCCAGACGGAATGAAAGAATTAGTCCACATTGTTGCCGGTCTTCAAAAGGATGTTAAACAAATGAGAAACGTTTTAACATTACCAGAAGCTCAAGCATATGCCAAACGTCACGGACCAAATTGGGAAGCACACGAAGCAGACATTACGGGTCCAAATGGAAAACCTGATGGAATAAATGAAGTTTTCGTTACTGATGGTCAAGGAAATATTAAAGTCATAAATGGGTATAAATTAACAATGACGGATTATCCTAAACGTAAAGCATATAATGAACATTATCCTATGCAATTTGATGAAAATGGAAAAGCTGTTAAACAATACATTGGAGAAGGTGAAAATGGTCCAATTAATTCATACCGTCATAATCCATATTCTTACTTCAATGAAGAATTAAATGCTATTGAAGAGGGACCGGATGGATTACCACGATATTCTAACCAGTTTGATGGTCAATATGCAAATTTAAGACCTGAAATTCCAGCTAAGAAATTCTTTAAAGTTGCTTTATTCGATCCAGTTTTCGCAAATGTTAAAGATGAACTTAAACAGCAATTCCAACCAATTATAGTAGCAAGAATTGCATCAGGTGCTTTATCTCAAGCATTCAAAGATTTAATTAAGAAACCATTATATCAGCAACGAGGTTTAACTTATGATTTAGTTAAGGAATCAGATAAAAGAAAATTTGAGAAATCAGATGATTATAAGAATGCAATTAATGAATATATTCGGTCTATTAATTTCGATGAAAATGCTAAAAATCAACTTCATGAACAAATACAGGAAATAATAGATTCAAAAGTTCCAGCAAAATAAAAGTTTAAATATATTTTTTTTTCGAATATAAATGAGAAGACGTTTCACTAGTCAAAAGAACACTAACGCAAAAGCAGAGATTACGGTTGGTTATAACGTAAATGATGATAAATCACGAATTATTCAAAATGTTAAAGTTAATGTTAGTCCTGAATTAACAAGGTCAGCAACTCAACCAAATTTATTAACTCGTGACTTACCGAAGAATGAGGAGAATGAAGAAAACCATGAGAATGGAGACCCAATCATTTTATCTGAACCTGGTAAAGAACCTGTTGAAATTCCCACTTATCCAACATACCCCCCACTTATAAACCCAGGAATCTACGATTACAGTCGCAATGCGCCATATAAAATAGACATTAATTCTGAATTAATGAAAATTTACCGTGATATCATAACTGATAATTATGATTCAATAATAAATTTAATTGACCAATCCGGTTTAATTATTTTACCTTATGAATCATTAATTCACATTATCGCCATTCTTTGTGATGTTCAAGATTCAGACGTGAAGATTCAATTTTTCATAGATGATGAGGTTTCATGCTGCGGAACAGTTGCAAAAATAAATCCTATAAAGGATATTAGCACAATTAAGATATCAAAGAACGGAACAACAACTGAACTTCATTTAACATATAATGATATTTATAATAAAATAGTTGATGAATATAAAATATCACTTGAAAAATTCTTTGTTAAGGCTATTTAATATTCAAGCATTAACATTATCGAATAATAATCCTTTGAATCATAATCGATAATAATTGACCTTTCACCAGTTTCTATCGTTTGTTTTATTTCTTTTTGTTCCCCACTATCCGGATCGGTCATTGTAATTGTTTTTGTTATAGTATCAGCTTTATCTTTAACTTCAATCTTTTTTCCATCGGGATATTTAAACCAAAATTCCAAAAATTCGATATTGTCAATCTGTTCATATTTTAATCTATCAATTACATTTTTAATACCATCTGAAAATCTTATGAAATGGTCATTATATGGGTTTGATTGAACTAAATTTGAATGAAGTGAAATATAACCTGATGATGAATATGACATCGACTCATATTTTCTGAAAACACTAAAATTTATAACATGAATGAATTTCTTATTCGTTGAATTTATGAATTCTTGAGGTAATCTTATTCTAGTTTTATTTATCACTGGAAAATAACGCTTTACCATATTTTTAATCGTAATAAAAAAATGTCAATTATCAATATTATTTCGAATAATAACTGTGAATTAAATTTAACAGTTAGCGGAATTTATAATGTTACTCTCGTTTCTGTGAGTGGTAAATTTAATCCCATTCTTTTAGACCCTTCAGATTATATATCATTTATTAAAGATGACCATGAGCCGCATAGCGGCGGGGTCGTAGACCTAAAAACGTATGATATGTATATAAATAATGTGATAACGAAATGGGATATTAACATGATTTTAAGTTATTTAAATGAATCATTTATCGTATGGTATGAAGAAAATTTTAAATCAAAACCTGATAAACTTTTTGAACTTGATGAAATAAATAACCTTATTAAATTTCCGCTGAAAATTAAATTTTGTACTCCTCGTCTTCGTTCATTGTTGGGGATATTAAATTTTGAAAAAGATGTTGGGGATGTTTTGTATTCTGACACTGGTTCTAATTTCATTTTAATCAAATGTGATAAAGTTAATACCCCAATGAGATTTTCACATCAAACATTAGACCCTAACTCTTACCCATCAATACAAAACATTTTATCCATCAACTTAAACATATTTTCTTTATCATATCCGTTTCAATTATCCGGGAATTCATTTATTCTTCATTCAAAAGATTTATCAAATATTAAATTTAGAATAACTGACCTATTTGATTGTGATTTAGAATTTATGAATGAAATATTATGGCAATTTCAAATAGAAAAAATAGCTGATGAGATAACAGATTAAATATTTATTTTTAAATCGTAATAAATGATTAAACAACAGCAACCACAGACCATTACATACGCCATATATGCATATAATTCAAAGACGGCAGAACAAACGCAAATGTTGAAATATGGAGATTTGGAGATAGTATTGAAAAATGACCATTTCGAATTCGTTTGCAAAGGTGGTGCAGTGATATCAAATATAAAAGAAATTTTATTTATGAATTCAAAAATTAAAGGAATAACGGATGATATAACATCAATTCCACCAGAAGAACAAAGATATTACGCATTAAATGCATTTCCTAAAGTTTTGAAGATCGGAAGATTTAATTTAAATGAGGAATTCATAAAAGGTTTCCTAAATGACATAATGAAGAAAGCAGATAAGGAATATGTTAACGATGAGTTAGCAAAGAAAGCAGATATATCATTTGTTAACGATGAGTTAGCAAAGAAAGCAGATAAAACTTATGTTAACGATGAGTTAGCAAAGAAAGCAGATAAAACTTATGTTAACGATGAGTTAGCAAAGAAGGCAGATAAGGAATATGTTAACGATGAGTTAGCAAAGAAGGCAGATAAGGAATATGTTAATGAAAAAGATAATGAAATTATAGAAAGGGTTGAATGGTATCATGAACGGACATCGAAGATTCTTAAAACTAAAGCTGATACAGGATGGGTTTCAGAATGTTTAGACCTTAAAGCAGATATATCATTTGTTAACGATGAGTTAGCAAAGAAAGCAGATATATCATTTGTTAACGATGAGTTAGCAAAGAAGGCAGATAAGGAATATGTTAACGATGAGTTAGCAAAGAAAGCAGATAAGGAATATGTTAACGATGAGTTAGGGAAGAAAGCAGATAAGGAATATGTTAACGATGAGTTAGCAAAGAAGGCAGATAAGGAATATGTTAACGATGAGTTAGCAAAGAAAGCAGATATATCATTTGTTAACGAAATATACCAAAGTTTAGTTGGAACAAAAAATATTGAAACTATTGTTGGCGACTTTTCTGTCAATGAAGAAAACAAATATTTTAGATGGGAGTTTGTACAGTCCTTAAGAAATGGTATACGGTATAAACTCATTCCGAAAAATAACAATGAAATGTATGTAGGCTATATAAAGAATAATGGCACACAAGTTAAAGTTCCATTAGACAACAACTGCTACTTAAACTTATATGGAGACGAACAAAAGAAATATTTAAGAGTTTATGAAATGACGGATATGACATTGTCTAACGTAGCTCCAGCACCGTATTATTATGACTATGGTGTTGACGCACATGTAGACCCAAAAAAGCAAACATTATATTTAGATTATTATAGATATAAAAGATATAATGCAATAGAAAAAACGAGAATAGTATACTATTATGAAGATGACAAAAATAAATATTATAGTCAAGATTTTACATACCCTGAAAACATAAGATTATATTATAAAAAATATTCTGACACAAACCAGAAGAAACCCGAAATAGTTACACTATATTTTAAGTTCAAAAGAGACAATCCTATAATATCTCATATGTTTGATTTAATGAACCCAGTAGGTTCTATTTATACATCTATGGATGTGAGAGGTCCTCAAGCAATGTTTGGTGTTGGTGCATGGGAACAAATAGTCGACAGGTTTTTGTATTGTGCAAACTCTTCAAAGGAAACAGGGGAAGTAAAACAATTACGGGTGAAAATTTACCTGCACACAGTCACTACATAGATTTAAGCACATCTCAAGCAGGTTGGCATAAGCATAGATATTGGGATTGGTCAGGAATGACAAAAGGTAAAGGATATGATGTTAAAGATGATGTTAAATTTGCCATAAATTGTTACTGGAGTGACACTCAGGGAGAAGGAAACCATACACATCGCGTTTCAGGATATACACAAACAACGGGACAAAGTAAAGATTACATGCCACCATTTATGACTGTATTCGCATGGTATAGAGTTCAATGAACGCTCAATGTTTGTGAAACAAACTTTAGGAGCTCCAAAAGAGCAAACATTATTTTAGGTCAAAGCTTCCACGAGAGAAAAGATTCCTCATTCGCTAAGGATTCCAAAAATGAAAAAATCATTGATTTCGGCTGAGAAAAAACAGCAAAACCCTTCTTCCACGGGAACAAAGAAATAAAGAAGAAATAAAGAAGAAATAAAGTAAATTTTTTATTTATTCCCGTGGAAGATAGAGCACTTTTATGATACTTTTTATTCACGACAAACAAGACAAATAAAGAAAATAAGAAAATACGGCGCTGTCGCGGTTCGAACCACAGACCTTGACCCCTCCATAACACCACCTTAGACCACTGTGCTACGTAGCCTGTCGACATAAGATTTTATAAATTGCATATTTGACGTAAATTTATTTCCCAGTTATTCAAAAATAATTAATTATTGAAGAACCTAAAAACATTCACGATAAAATAAGTGATAACAAATTTTTATTTTTATCATAAATGAATACCCCACAAGCTCAAAATTTACCACGAATCATAACAAGGGAGGAAATGATAAAAATGATGCAAGAACATGTTAAAAATAACAAACCACTAAAATTGAGAAAATGTGGTTATGCGGTAATGATGGAAAGAGAGATGTTGTCGAAGAGGAATAAAAATTAAATTTGGATAGAGTTTAAAAATTCATCTTTATTAAATTCATCTCTTCCAATCAATTTATTTATTCTATTAAATTCTTTTATTTTTGCTTCACTCAGTTTAAGGATTGAACGATAAGTTTCTAATTTTTCGATTATTTCTTTCCTCTCTTTATCGTTTTCAACCCCACCACATTGTGGCTTCTTTTTGTAATAACATATTTTTGATTTAATTCTGTTTAGTTTCTTTTTATATTCATCGTCTGGACTCTTGACTGCTTCGTTGTTACTCATTTCTTACGAAATAAAAAAATTAAATATTATTTAAATATAATGGAGTAATAAAATAAATCGGAATTTCTATTAATTTATTGTCAACTTCAACTAATGCATTGCCGTTAATATATCTAACAAATTCAGCTATTGTGTCAAATCTTCGTCTTCTTTTTGTCATTGATTTATCAGTTTTTCCATAATCGAGATGAATCAAAACTTTATCCCCTTGTTTAAAATTCATGAGCCCCGAATTAATTTGTTCACGTTTAACATCATTCAACCTTTCCATTTGCTTTCTAATATATTCCCATTCTTTTGAAATATCATTTTTCATTTCCACCGGTTTCATGTTTATTGTTCTATGCCATGTATTATTGTAATAATATACTAACTGCTGTATGATGGAGTCATGATTTCCATCCCAGTATATCTGACCATTAACCCTAACGCATCTCTAAGAGTTCTCATTACCGCATCAACTATTTTATTATGAAACGTATATGGAGAGGATGAAAAGTAAAAATTAATTTGTGGGAAATAATGAGCCATAGCTGCCTGAAATCCTTTATCACCATCACCCCTTATATTATCTACTCTTTCATGATCTAGTAAGTATTGAATAGCTCTTCTTGTTTCCTGTTCTGTTTTCCCTTTCACCGGAATGCAATATAAATATCTGGTGTTAATGTTAATGGCAAATAAATAAGTAACGTTTCCTCTTGAATATTCTAAATGATCGATTTCGTATGAATATGGATATGGTGCAAATGAAGGGCGACTAAATTTTTCCTTTAACGGTTGAATTTTTGGGTCAGTTGGTTTATTTAATATTTTGAAATCCTTTTTAAAATCTTTTTGCTTCTTTAATGTTTGAAATGGATATAATAAAGTGAATGATGAAGGATTAACTGAAGGAGGAGGAGGTACTGTCGTTGGAGGGTTTGGTGTTGCAGGTGGTTTAATTTTATCTGCTTTGATTTTGGATTTCATTCCCCCCTTCATTAATTCTGGATGTATTCTATTCATTTGTTTTAAATATGCTGTATATAAAGGTTTGATATACTTTCCCGCTTCGAGTTTATGTTGAAGGATGAATTCCAAAAGTTGATCTTCATTTAAAAGTCGGGCTGAATATGGTTTAACTAATGAATCATAAATTAAAGCTTGTGCTTCATTTATGGTCTGAAGGACCTGGGCGTTTTGCACCTTTTGTTTTTGTTCCTTTGGTTTTTGCGGCTCAGGATTATATAATTTATATAATTTATATAATTCATCAATATCTTCTTCTGTTAATACTTTATTTTTGAAATCTTTCAATTGTTTAAGTTGTGATTTACTTTTTCCCTTTGAATATTCATTATTTTTAATTTTGTCTTTAATTTTAGAAATTATTTTATCATGATATTTCAAAACTTCATTTTTATAATACGAATAATAATAATCCATATCATCACCCGTTATATTGTTATCATGTTTTTGGAGATATGATTTTAATTCATAATAATTAAGAAAATTTTGATTAAGTACTAAATCATCAATTAAATTTTTTAAATCTACGCTATTCATTTATATAAAAATAAAATAAGTGTTTTAAGGGTGCCCGCCTCTTTGAATCATAGTATCAAAACCATTATTTACGGTTCCTTTTGTCTCTTCTGTGGCATTTTATTAAATAAATGGCATACAACATCCATTTTCACAACATACAGCCTTAGTGTGTGCTCCTGTTAATGCAGTCTTACCGATTGTTAAGCGAGTCATTGACCCGTTTTTAAGTTGTAAATTAATATTCTGACCATCAAATATCACTTTATCATTTATTATATCCAAATAATTTTTAGGTGTTAATTGTTTATTTTGTCGTAAACTAACTCCTTTCATTTTTTGTGCAATCTTTTTAAAATCACTTCCATCAATTGAACCGTTGAATGAAGTATAACACTTAGGACATAAAGCAACCATGTTATCACCTTGTTTCTCAATTGCTAAACCCAATAACTTCTTCTCATGTGCTTTTTCTTCAGCTTTATTCTTTAATTTAGGTTTAAATTTCTCATTAAAACAGAAGAAATCAAAAGGTGTGAATTTGTAAATGTTTTTATCATAAAATTTTTTATCGGTTACAATTGCTTGAAATGCTTGAGTGTTAGGAAGATTTGGGTCGCCAGCGATTGCCCAATAAGATGAATCAGTATCACCTTCAATGAAATGAAAACAATTAACATCCATGCATTTATACATAAAATCATAAATGAAAACCAAATACCAGTATTTTGCGTTATCTAAAGTGAAGAATGCCTCTTGTAAACATGTATCACATCTATAAAATCTATCTTTAAGCATCACTTGATACGTATCCTCTCCTATTTCTCTTATGTTTTTAAACTTATTTGACATACATGCAACGCGTGCCTTCTGTGCATTCATTATTTTAGTCTTTGCGTAATTTTGTGTATTCATTGCATCGTAACCATATGATCCATTAAGTGAAATCTTGCAAAATAAACTTTTTCCTTTATTTCCTTCTAATTCAGCCTTTTGTCTTTCGTTCATAAATTCATTCGCAAATTCATTAAAACAAGTATTTTTCGTAAATGTTAAAATTGATTGAATGTCATCAATGATAAAATGAAATCTGTCTATTAGATACCAAAGATAATAAGAAGAAAATGGTTGATATTGGTTGTGTGTTGATGCTAACTGAGTTAATTTCCTCTGTTTCTGGTCAACTGGTAGATTGTTTGATTTCATGTAATTATACATAAAACCACCAATTGTTTTTTCATCTGTGATAATATCAAAGTTTCTTATTATTGGTAAAAAGTTTATGTAATCATTAATGTATTTTTCATCAATGTGACCCTTTACTTCAGCCACGAATAAAGTATTTTTCTTCTTAATTATTCCCAGTGCTTTTGCTTTCTTTGTTGCTGTATCACAAATGATAACACCATTCAATCTTCCCGGCATATACATTTTATGGTCAGTATATTGAATGAAATCATGAGGATTAGATGAAAATGATGAAGGATATAATGAATTAAAGTCAACACCAACGAAATGAGTCATAATGTTGGTGTGTCCTCATTTGATACAGTTTTAGTTTCTGGATTATATGAAAGTTTATTAATGTGCGTGATTCCTTTAAGATTTACTCTATGTTGAACATTTGATAAACCACCAGTAATTCCATTACGGAGGATGTGATAAGCTTCAACTGAATCTAGAGTCATTGGTAAATTATTTTTTAATGTATAATTTCTTAAATTGATTCTTAAACGTTGAACATCTTCATCTTTATTTGATTTTACGACATTGCAATAACAACACATTAACTGACAATTTTCTTTGGTATGTGGTTTTTCATTATCGATTCTATCTAATGTTGGTTTATTAGCATATGTAAACGCTTTACCACACATTTTGCATTTAGATGAAAGGATTAAATCGTGATAGTATTGATAGTCATCCATTGAAACATTGTTTTTAGTATCCCTTTCTGCTTTTTCATCTTGTTTCTTATATGAATCAATTTTATATTTCCAATACTTTTTTGTTAATTCAAAACTTGATTCCACATTTTCTTCTTCTGGATATGTTTCGTTAGGATTGAAGTTCTTATATGCTAACGCGTAACGAATCATTGATGCATTCGATGATAAAGAAAGATTATGAAGCATGTCAATTTTATAAACAAATGTTTCTTCAATAATTTTATCAATTGGGTCAATCATAATTTCAACGTCTTTATTGCAATAATGAATAAAATATTCTAATCTATTCTCAAAATTTTTAGCATCATTGAGATATATTTGATAATCTGAATCGGATATTGTTTCTTGAGTTAATGCTGAATAAAATGAATCTTGAGTGAATGGTTCCACTTTATATAATTCATCTTCGTAATTCTCCCATGTGATGAATTGATAAGGGAAAAAGGATTTAACACGTGATTTATTGTTTCCGAAATCTTGAGTGAATTGGTCTAATGTTCCACCCGCTATATAATTTCTGATGTCAATAAATCTTAATTCATATGGACAGTTTGTTTTCTTTACAATGATTTGCTTAAATTGAGAAGAAGAACCCAGCATTGATTTTATTTTCCATTTTGCAGTGTTTAAATCACGAAGAATTAAATTTAAATCAAACTTTCCCGAATTAAAACCTATGATATTCACTTTATTGAATTCCTCATCTAGAAGTTCTTTAAATGCTTCCTTCTGTTTTTCATTTAATGTATGGGACAAAGTCCCCGCCGTTTGGTCCGTTTGCGGCTTCATTAATTCTTCATATTGTTCAATATTTGATTTAGCAACTAATGAACAGGTTGAAAATAAAAATTCAATCCAATCAGAGATGAACGAATCACTTGATGTTAAGCAAAAATTCCTCGTAAATGTTTTATCACGGTCTACGACCTCGCCGCTTCGGTCTGAAAGACCTTCAGGACTCAAAGAGTCCGTTTGCGGCTTTATTTTGACAGTTGATGATACCATAAATGGTTTTAAGTAAGCGTTCAAAGTTGCACATTCAGAAAGTTGAAGTTCTTCTTTAGTCTCTAATGTTTCGAAGTCAAAAGTAATATAATATCTTGTTGGTTTATAATATTCCTGCAAATTATGTGCTAATAGCCATTGATATATCTTCTGTTTCGTGATATGTGGTGCATATGGTTGTTGTGTGTTTTGCAATTGAACGTCTTGAATTAATCTTCCATTATTTTCTTTACATTTCTCACAATGCTTTAAAAATCTTCTTTGGTTTTTCCTTTCTGGGTCATCACGGATAGAATATACTTCTTCTTTGCAAAAGGGGCAAACTTTATATCCTGTGAGTGCTTCAACGTCTGTAATTCTGTCAGCGTGAAGTTTTCCACATGGACTCTGTGTTAATAAAATATTTACTGTTTCAAATTCTGGATCTATCATTATTGATTCCACTAATGGAAAGTCTACCTTATTTATGTCTACGTCTTCTGGTTGAGGTCACAATAATAAAAATCAATATTAACGTTTAACATTCTTGCTAACCTCTCACTTTCTGATGAAATGTCAAATCCTTCATATGCATCTATGGCTTCATTTAAATAACTTCTACGAGTTTTAGGATTAACACCATCAGGAATGTTATAGAAGCGTTTAAATAACCTTCTACCTTCGGCTCTTATTTGATTATCATTCATTTTAGCTGTTCCGTTTTTGTTCATTTATGTAAGAATAAAAAATTAAAAAATAAATAAAAATAAAGTTTATTTTTTTAAAGTCCAGGGCTAAAGTCCATAAAATGAATTAAGAACACATAAATTTTTATCATCTGCGACGTGACGAATACATTTTAATTTACTCAAGAATGCGTACCCTGATACATTAAATCTAATTCCTGTCTTATTTAATTTCACAACTTTGAAAAGGAATGTATGAATAGCTATAAAATGATGAGATGATGTTTTATGGGTTGCTTCCATTTTTTCTGAAATAAATGAATAAATATAATGTTTATAAGTTTTCATATCTTTTATATTCTTAATAACGAATGGTATAGACCTTTCAACTTCGTCTTCCTTCGGTGCTGTTCTTTCATATGAAACATTATTAGTATCTTCAATAATGAAACCACAATCGCATAAAATTTTATATGTACCAATTGTTTCTTTTGATATTTTATCTAACAAATCAAAAACTTTATCAACACCTGCACATTTATTTAAATAATAATTTGTGTAAATATCATGGTCTTCTTTCTTAATCGTATTTGTTGCATATGTTACATTTTTCAGTGCTTTTTTGAATTTTTCAGAATCAAGAGGAGGTGAAAGTAATATACATGGATAATCTCCATCGTCAATAAATTGTAACTTATGTTTATGAATAAATTTTGTGCCTTCTTCTGAAAGTGTTTCATCTATTTCACCATCTAATAAATTTTTAGTAGATTCCAAAAAGTAATTTTTATATCTTTCTTCATGAGATTTTTGAACTTCTGATTCTGAAGCTGGGATATTCATTAAACCCTCTACTTCATTCTCATTATATTTTTCAACTTCTCTTAATTCCTTAATTTTTTCATCTATTTCATCTCTTATTTTTTCCAGTCTTTCAATTTCATCATATTCATCATCTTTAATCCGTTCTTCATAATATTCAGGGAAAACATCAGGTTCTTTAGGTTTTTCTTCTTCAGATGTGGGATATAAGAAATTTATAACATCATCTTTATTCATTTTTCCATCATAATCTAAATCATTTAATAACTCCGCAAATTTTTGACAATTTCTTAAATAATATTTATTAACTTCATAACTCGCCTCCTCTAATATATCCTTTATTTCCTCGTTTGTGAATCCCAATTTTTTAACGTCGTTAGTCTTGACACTCATTTTCATACGAATTAAAAAAATAAATTATTCAAAAAATGTAAGACATGAATTTTTAATATTGGTTTCATACAAAATAAAAATAAATTATTCATAAATGTAAGACATGAATGTTTAAAATCTATTTTTTTATTTCATTATGGTAGTGAATCTTTCATTCATGAATGATAATTATATCTGATTTCTTTTACTCTCTCGTATATACTAGATTTAAAGAATTCAGAACTTTTACCATAATCTCCTAAATGTTTTCTTATCCCTAACGTGTGCCAGTTATTATATGAAACTGTATAAACTTTATCTTTATCTTTACATCTTTCATCACTTCCAATATATTTATATCTCAGTTTTGATTTTGCATTTTCATAATCATTAACGTTTAATAATTCACAGTCTTCCTTTTTAAATAAATGTTTAAGATATTCAGGATTTAATACTCTACGTTTATATGCTCCTAACTTAGTTCTAAAGGTTTTTCTACAAAATTTAGGAATTCCATCCTCTTTAATGTCATCAATGATTTCCATTTCATTATTTTCAATTTCTTCTTCTCGTTTATGAGGTCTTTGATTATGACTCCATTGATTCCATGAAATTAAATATTCTTTATCATTATATTTATACCTCATTAGCTTATTTTGGCTTTCATATTCATTTAATAATTCACAATCTTCATTTTTAAATTGAAGTTTAACCCATTCAGGATTTAAACAATGTTTAATTAATCGCGGAATATCTGACATCATCTATATATAGCTTCTTTTATAAAAGATAAAAAAATAAATTATTTTAAAATTAATGTTAATTTTTTAATGATTTATAAATAAATATATTTTAATGCATCGTCTATATATAGATGTAACAAAAAAAGTCACACAACCCGCACTCATCTACTACTTTTTTTTTATAAAAAAAGTGTTTTTTCAAATTTAATAATAAATATTGGGGAGAAGCTTCCTAAACTTTTTAATCCCATAAATATGGTCATTATCTGGAATAAAGAGTTAAGCGTCATATGTCACTTTTTGTACTAAGGAAACATCGACTTTATGCGTTATGACTTTTCGATGAGGAAACAAGTGTTCACGTATTATAAACTTCCTTATTCCAATAAACCGACCCTAAACATAATTAATTCTAAGCATGATAATGGTCTCTTTTCTATGATAACCAAATCAATTTGGTTATCATAGTAAAGCACCAAAAACTGGAATAGGAATAGCCGTGTTAAAACAGGAATAGGCAGTGTGGAAACTAGAGAAGACTCAACTGATTTTTTAAGCAACTCTTCTTGCCGATTCAAATCTGCTTTGCTAATCATTGTATATTACTATATTCTGATTAGGATACTTTAACGCTTGATGCATGCACATCATTCTTTTAGCTGATTTCTAAAATACAATCTTCTATTAACTTTGAAATTTCTTCAAAAGTTATAGTAATTCCATAGTTCATTCGTAAAATGTTATTAAATAGCTCTGACTATTCCTTTGCACGCAAAATGAGGTAGTATTTTTTGAATTTTTTACTCAAAATAAAACAAAATCTACCCAATTTTATACCACTAAAGCCTATATTGACACACACATATATAAATCTCTATTGTTATAAGATAAATTTGAAAAAATAAATTTTTTTCCTAAAATGTAAAACTATACTTGTATTCAAAGAAAGTAGATCGTTTATAAGGAAGGTATTATATATTTGGGGAGAAAATCCCTTACAATATACAAAAATATGAAAGAATATTCAATCATCAGGAAAGAGCTTAGTACTAACCATTTGTGAGACGTTCATATAATATCTTTTTCCTTTTTGGGGTTTTTAATCGGATTATCCATTTCCCTGCATTGACTTTAATTCATTCTTGATGATCTGAGTATACATGATCATTATCGAACGTTTGCCATACTCTTCCACAGTTAATGATTGCTGAAAAATGAATAATACTGAATAACAGCTGGAATTTCATAAGTATTTTGCGTATTTATACTGATTTAAACATGAAATACTCATACAAAATGCAAAGTTTTTAAAAACAATCAATAAAAGATTTTAAATTAGATAAAATATCATATGTCACTTCTTTTTTCATCTGGATAATAAAATTGATAAATTTTTTTCTAATTAAAGATAAAGATGCATTTATAGTAGTAGAAAATTAATTTCTAGACTAAAGCTTGTTTATTGTCACCGTTTTAAGTCTAAATTTATAGGAAAGGGTTATTTTATTATGCATTAAAAGTTCTTCTATAAAATTAACATTAAAATCAAAAAAAAAAAAAAAAAAAAAGGGAGTGGGGCTTCCAGGCACTTCGTGCCTTCTAGCCCTGAAGATGTTTAGTATAAATGAAGTCTTAGAGGACAAACATGACTATGAGTTTTGATATGACAAGATAGAATATGAGAGAGGTCCTATAAACCGGAGAAAGTGTTATATAAACATCTGTCATATTACTCAGAATATTATACAGAATTCAATAAAAATATATTTTAGGTGAAGAGGTGAGATTTCACCTGTTTTTTCACCTCATTTTTCACCTCTTGAATTTTCATGAATTTCATCGTAAAGACTTTGTCAAGATTTCATCGTAAAGACTTTGTCAAGATTTCATCGTAAAGACTTTGTCAAAACTTCATCGTAAAGACTTTGTCAAGATTTCTTCGTAAAGACTTTGTCAAGATTTCTTCGTAAAGACTTTGTCAAAACTTCATCGTAATGAGCGTAAATCAGACAAAAATATATTTTAGGGTAGAAGGGTATATCTACCCCGTTTTCTACCCTCTTTTCTACCCCATATGTACTTACTGAAAAAGTATGTGTTCCATCTGTCATTTTACTCAGAATTTTACACCAAAAATAATGTTTAGGTGAAGAGGTGAGATTTCACCTGTTTTTTCACCTAATTTTTCACCTCGTGAATTTTCATGAATTTTACACCAAAAATAATGTTTAGGTGAAGAGGTGAGATTTCACCTGTTTTTTCACCTAATTTTTCACCTCGTGAATTTTCATGAAATTTACACCAAAAATAATGTTTAGGTGAAGAGGTGAGATTTCACCTGTTTTTTCACCTAATTTTTCACCCTCTTGAATTTTCATGAAATTTACACCAAAAATATACTACTAGGGTCATTTACGAAGAAATCTCAACAAAGTCTTTACGATGAAATCTTGACAAAGTCTTTACGAAGAAATCTCAACAAAGTCTTTACGAAGAAATCTCAACAAAACATAGACAAGAAAGTTCATGAGAAATTAGATGAAGAAGTCTTAACAAAGTCTTTACGAAGAAATTCATGAAAATTCAAGAGGTGAGAAATGAGGTGAAAAAAGAGGTGAAATCTCACCTCTTCACCTAAAATATATTTTTGGGTCATTTACGAAGAAATCTCAACAAAGTCTTTACGAAGAAATCTCAACAAAGTCTTTACGAAGAAGTCACAATAAAGTCTTTACGAAGAAGTCACAATAAACATCTGTCAAAAACCGCTTTTTAACTTCACTTAAAATGCCACGTAAGCTACGTAAGAATATACGTAAGAGGAAGAGAGCATTGAAACATCCAATAGTAAAACTGACACCACACACAACAGTTGCAACAACAAATTATGAATGACCCCACTATGTTGCAACAAATGTCAAGCAATCCTATGCTTTTAACCGAGTTATTGGTGCACAGAGTGGAGGTTTAAGAGCGGCACTTTTAGCCAAAAATGGCAGGCTATGGTGGAGCTGCAGACGGAACAAGCTTATAACCCTCAAGTCAAATGAATTTGAGTTCACTCAAAAATCAAATAACAGATGTCAAAAGTCAAACATAGACATACAGAAAAAATAGTGAAAACGAAAAGAAACTAAGAATATGACAGACACACAAAGAAACTCAATGAGTTAAACGTAGAGAAAAAGAAGAAAGAAGAACAACTGAAAGAACTAAGTACAGAGGAATATGCGAAAAAAGTGTCAGAAAAAGCAGCAGAAGTAGCAAAATGGAACAAGATGTCATAAATTTGAAAAACATACTACTCAATATAAAGTACTGAAAGATGAAGAGATAAAACAAAAAGCCCTGAAGACATATATGGATAGCGATGAGTATAAAAAAGAAGTTGAAGCAAATGTAAAGGCAGAAAAACTTTTACAGTTGCAAAACCAAACCGTACAGTATGAAAACTTAGCAAAGAAAGTAAAAATAACGACGCAGCCATGCAAAGGCAATGAAAAGCGCAGAATAATATAAAAGCTAATAATGACTGGTTAGATGCCCAAGCCAACGCTAAAGCAGCCCAGCTTATAGGGTCAATAAGGACAAAAATACAAGCGGATGAAGATAGTTCAAATGAAGCTTTAACAAATGCTGACTTTAAGAAACGCTTTCGAAGCTCTTCATAGTAAAGGTGAAACAAGTGAACGACTTCTCATCTGGAAAGAAACTGAAGTCTGAAGGTTTCGACAAAGAGTTAAAAGAAGTAGCACAAAATATGACGAAAATAACAGATGCAGCAACGAGACAGGCAGTTCAAAGTGCTATGACGCCGTTAGAGCAACTGTTGTGAAAAGTCAAGAAAAAGAGTTACAACAGACCAAAACAGACCTAGTAAATGCTTTCTTAAAACGAAAAGTCGGTAGGACATTACGCTGCAGATGGAACATATGTGCCAGCTGGTGGAACTTATATACCACCAAACCCTCCGAGAAGCACCTGCCACCGGACTACCTAGAACATTTACATCGTCACATGGACACAGACACAGGCATGCACAACAACCAGCACAACAACCACCTCCACAACCAGCACAACAACCAACACAACAACCAGCACAGCAACCAACAGTTCAAAACCCTGCACAACAACAACCACAAACAGAGCAAGGACATAAAAGAAGTAGAGAACAAGGAAACCAAGAATTCTTAAAAATGCTTAAAGAAGAGTGTGGTTTCCCAGATACTGTTGACTTTAGTGACAGATATAAAGAAGCTATTGGAAAGTTCAAGGATGGAAATACTGACCCGAACCTATTTAGCTTTATGGCTCAGCACCAAAACGGATATAATCTCAAACCTGGAAAATACAAGCTCGCTAAGGGATATGATTTAATAGCATATCATCCAAATGACATGGATGAATTTACTCCGAGATATTTGATGTCAGAGCTAAATGACAATTCAACTTTCGTCATGAAACGCGTAAAAAATAGAGACGGAACGAAAGAACAAAAGCTTATGAATGCGGATGACGTAGATAGGGAAATTGTTGAAAACGGTCTCGGAATATATGAAATGCCAGCAGATGAGGTACAAGAAACTCCACAGGAAGAAGTTCAGATACAACCAGACATGGAAGAAATAGTTCAGCAACAACAGCTAGAAGAGCCTGAAGGAAACGAACAAGTCACTCCTTTGGAAACTAACTTCACAGAACTAGATGAAGATTTGGAACAGCCGAAAAATCTTGACCCTCAACAAGAGTATGCGGAGAATATGGAATATTTCCAAGAGTCTAAAAAAAATTCGGCTGACATAGTAGAAGAATATCGAAAAATGTTTGCCGACATACAAAAGACTCCAGCACCAGATGAAAATATTCAGCATAGAATGGAAGTACTGAAAGAAAATGTACACAAATACAACAACCCTTTTTACTTACGAGCATTTAACGTTCAATCTTCGGATGAACTCGGTGAAAATAAAAGGTTAAATTTCAAGAAAACATATAGAAATGAAACATTGTTTAAAGTTCATTCAGAACCTAACCAAGATGGAAACAAACCTACTTTTGTTTCTGCAGACGATGGAACTACAATGAGATGGGGTCATAAAGCTAACCCGGATAGGTGGTTCATAAACTTACAACCACAATTCCAAGAAGTTGTAGACGCAATGGAAGTCAATGGTGAACGAGATATAGCTGGTATTTTAAGCGCGGCTTTAATGCCATTGAAAGATATGAAACATGCAGATATTTTGGACCAGTATGAAATGAACATGGCTGATGGAAATATAACACCTGACGTTCTAGAACATTTATCTCAAAGAACTACACAGAACCATAGAGATGGTATATTTGGTGAAGAGTTTAGAAAGAAAGTTAGGGAGATAGAAGGAAGAGAACCTATTGTACATGACCTTGCAAACGAAAGTTTACAAAATGTCATAAAAACTTACTTTGCAGACGATGAATCGAGAAGGGATGAATATTTAAGAAAACTCAAATGGACAGTACCAAATGAAATGTTAGTATTGAAAAACATGTTCCTTGACAAAATAAAACCAACTACAGAAATAAACGACGCAAGACTGAAAGATTGGGTAAAAGCTTTCCCATTCACAAAAGATATAGTTGGTAACATGGAAAGAAAACCAGAATGGCTACAAAAACATATATTTGGAAACGAGCTTATTCCATATGGACAGGCACTGTTTGAAGCGCTTGAACCGGAAACTCAGGAAAGAGTCATGCAAACAATACGCGAAGACTCAAATACAGACTATGACAAACTCTTTCTAGATATAGGTTACCTGAGATGGGCGACCAGAGCCAAAAGGCAAAAAGGACATGGGAAATTTGCAACATACTAGATGAACATAATGCAAAGATGCAACAACTTCAAGCAGAGGGCAATGAAGGAAAAAGAAGAGTTAAAAACTCAGTCAGGAAGAAAGTAAAGCTTGGTCGGAGTGGGTTCTATTATGACATATAAATCCAACTATTCTATATTTTTACTCATATGAAATGTACGCCGCTCAGAATATAACGCCAACAGTTTTGGATGCCATGAACGGAAATGTTTCCGAATGGTATAACGAATGCGACAATGCCATTAGAAGGTCAGAAATAGTTCCTGGAACTTACGAATATACAACTGCTGTTTCTTATGGAAACGTAGGTGAGTTTGGAGAAGGTTCTTCAACAACAGTAGATATTGCTTGCGACAGGTTTCATATTATTTCTATTGACAACTCATTCTTATACGTGGAACAAGACATTGAAATAAAACCTTCTGCCAAGTTGTCTGACAAGAAAGGTTGCAATGGAATTTTCTATGTCGGATACCAATATGCTCCAGAAGTTTTCATGGGATATAAGATATATTCTAACTCTGACTTAGTTCAAACAGTAACATGGGCAAACTATGAATGGTTCGCTTTGAGAAACTCAGTAACAACCACAAGCTAGAGAACAAACAGACCAGTATGCAACTATTGAGAAAATAAGAAGACTTGACCCTAACGTTCCAGGAGTTTATGTTAACCTTTCTGGTTCAGATGGAAATGCTGCCACTAAAGTAAAACTGAAACTTAGAGTTCCTTTGTCATCTTTCCTCATCTTCAGGTTTTTAAGATACTTGCCAAACTGGGCAGGAAAATTTCTATCGAACTTACTCCAAGCAAAAATAACTTAGTCATTGCACCACACAAGACCCATTCACTATTACAGACGTAAAGGGAACAAATCAAACGTCATTCGCCGAATTTTGCAAAGACAAAGTTGACTTAGACTTTGGTTTCTCAAACCTCAACACTGAAGTAAACTATTATTTCAATGCTGCTGGAGATGCTTGGGACCCAGTTAAGTTCACATGCGAAAAGTTTGAATGCAAGAGAATAGAAAGCAGACTTGCAGTCTATATGTTGGACCCAGATATTTCAAATGCTTTAGCTGCCAAATATATTGCAGTTCCACTTATGTTCCCTATACACCAAATATCTGTCAAAGACTTTGCAGGTGAAGTTGGAAACCAAAGTGCTGACCCAGGTGCAAGAACAGATATTGCTTTAACAACTGCAATGAAACATGCAGATACTATGTTTGTACTGTTCAGACGAACTATAAATGACTATTCTTGTTTTACAACCCTGGTATTAAATATCATATAAACATAGATGGCAAATATTATCCAAGAGAAGAATATTCTACAGTTGAGGATATGAGGTCATACAACTTGACATTAGATGCTATGAACTTTAACAACAACTTCACAACACCATTAACCCTGAAATGCAAAGTTCTATTATGCCATATGTGAAAGTATGGACTCATACAGGAGGTCAAAAAACTCAATATACAAATGGAGACCGTTCAAACTTTTGGCTTGGCATTCCATTTGCTGACTCAGAAGACTTTATGGGTGGTATTTCAACTGTTGGTACTGTACAAATACAATATACTGGTGACAGAGACGGTCCAGATGAATTGAAAGCAAAGAAGTTTACAAAAACCAATAGCACTTTTCACGGAAGATGCTCTTTTGAGAGATTCGTTCGATGAAACCTGCTGGGGCTCCTCAGATTGGCATAACGACAGCTTCCATCGAGCAGATTTTGGCAGCAGGTCAGTAAGTTGTTCTTGAACTGACTTCTCTCCGTCAAATATTGACAGTACGCCAGTTTTGACATAATATTGTATTATAAACTTACCTTTAGAAATATCTGTAAGTTTTGTTGTTATATTTTTGTCAACGTCAAGAACTTTCACCATCTCGGTTATACCAACTTTCTTTGCTTTATGAAAATATTTAGGTTCAGCAAAGACTGCTATTCTATAACATTTACCATTGTTTGTATAAAGAACTATTCTGTCAATGTATTTGTATTGTTTGTGTGTGTAAACTTTGTTCTGCTTCAATTCGAAGAGATACTCAAATACGTCCATCTTTTTATTCTAAGTAAAATGTCATTTCCGAAAAATAGAAGCGTAAGTGTTTCAAAAGGTTTAATGGCGGTGGCAGATGTGAAGTTAAATTCACCAACTCAAACAAACAGTCAAAGTGTTGTTGTCAATGTCAAAGACAGAGATGTTGAAGTGGGGAAACCATACGAAGACGAAGATGGTATAACAATTGTTCCTGTAAAAGAACAACCAACATATCCTGAAGTTAACAGAGACTTAAGTTCTGTTGCAGATATTCGAAACGACTACCAACAACTGAAAGACAAACTTCAAACTCAGGAGAAGATTTGTCAAGCTTTAGGTATAATGTTAAACTTGGTCGAACACAACCCTGTAAAAGTGAACTCATATGTCATCGCACCTCATGAAATTTTGAAAGAACTATTGAAACTTTTGACAGAGGCAGACGATATAAACATCAAAGAAATAGAGCCCGACATTAGTTGCTGTGGTGTTTCATATAATGTCATTGACAAGATATACGTTATGAAAGGAGGTGAAACGTTGAACTTAAAATATAGTTTCCCAGACGTTATAAAAATATTTGACGACCACAACATTTCATTAAAATTTATTTGCTAAGTAAATGGCAGAAGACATAGTGGTTTATACTATTACGACTAAAAACCCTGAGTCATATAATTCTATAACAACAAACTTACAAAGTCCTCAAGGACGATATTGTAAACTAACCTTAAACACAATGACGACTAAAGCCTGTTTTGCTCTTTTGACACCCAGAAATTTTATTGTTGTGAATGGTAAAAAATACTCCTTTGAAGATACTTACTCAGATATACCAACAACAAGGTTTTTGTTGACTTATTTAATACTTTAAGGACGGATGTAACATGTGCTGCAACTAGAGCAGGTTTCATTATGTTTGGATGTCCGACTGAGTTTACTATAAACAATATGAGCTATAATACAAAACTTATATCTGGTTTTTACTACCAACAGTTTCCTATAACAGGAAAAGGTGTCATACAAGGAATGTCTGTTCCATTGACTTTAAGTACACCTATTTTATATATTGTTTCAAACTTAGTTCAAAGTGCTATTCGAATGTCGACAGAAACTACTATGACCAAAAGATACTCATGCGTATAAACAACACTTTCTCTGCTGGTTTGCCTATTGTTCATTCGAATGCAGAGTTTTCAGCTTTAGTAAAACTCAAACACTTTAGCAAACATAAACTTAACCTTAGTTGACGCAAACTTTGTTCCTGTAAAACTTTTATGTCCTATGTATTTGTCAATGACGGCAGAAAGTTTCGAATTGGAAGATGCAACTGGTGAAAGTATTGTACTACAAGAACAACTTCAACAACAAATAGCTCAAGAACAACAAATGCAACAAATGGAACAAATGCAACAACAAAGTCAAGAATAAAAAAAATATTTTTTTTATTTTTATAAAAATGTACAGAATAGATGTTTCAGATTTTTATGACTCCCAAGCGTTCAGAAATATGTGTCCATTTCGAGACTATAACAAAGCAGTCGAGAATTTGAAACGTTTAGTCATTTATGTTGACTCTGCCCCAGAATGTTATGTCATGAAAGAATGGGATGTTGTCTTTAACAAACCAAGAGCAACAATAGTTTCAGAACAAGAATGTAGACAGAAAACTTAAGAAAATAAAAGTCGTACAAGTTGGCATGAAGATGTTAGATGCTTGGGATATTTATTGTCAAAGTTAGAAGATTTTTCAGTTCGTGTATAAAGTTCTATACACCTTCTCCAAACTTCTATTCTATCTTCACTGGATATAAATACGAACAAGTAGAATGGAAAGAAAATGTTATAGAAGCTTGGTTAGACCATGTCAAAGAAATTATATGCAATGGAAACGAAAGAGTCTATGAGTATATCTTATGTTGGTTTGCAAAACATCTTACAACATCCAAGTGCTAAATGAAAACTGCTCTCATTATAATTGGAAAACAAGGAACAGGTAAGAATACTTCTTTACAGATATCTTATGCAACTGTTAGAGGGTATTCGAACCCGAATATGACAAACTTAGAAAACATCTGCGGTAAATTTAACTCTTCAATAGAGAATATGAAACTTATAGTATGTAACGAACTTCAAAGTATAGATACAACAAAAGTTTTGAACTCAAAGATGCTTTGAAGAGTCTTATAAACAGACAAAGTTGGAGTTGTTGAAAGAAAGTATAAAGACCAAAGAGTTTGTGAAAATGTTGCAAACTTCATTATGGTTTCAAACAATGCTGTTCCGATGAAGTTAGAAAGTTCTGACAGAAGATATGTAGTTGTCAGAACGTCAGATTCTCATATGCAAGATACAGAATATTTTGACGACTTAGCAGAAACTTTGACATCTGACTTTTACAACCACTTGTTCTCATATTTCATGACATTAGATATTTCAAAGTTCAATCCAAGACAAATTCCACATACCGAAGAAAGACAAACATTGTTAGAAGCAAACAAGAGTGTATATGAACTGTTCATAGATGAGACTAACTTTGAGTGTTTAGATGAAAGGTCATTGTACGATTCATATAAACAGTATTGTCAAGAGTATGGTTATATGGCAGCGTCTAAACGAACATTCTTGGCAAATGTCAAAAATCTTTTAGATGTTCAGAACGGCGTATATACAAAGAAAAATTTTTATGAGTAAATTTTAAAAAAAATATTTTTTATCCGATAGAGAAAAGATGACGAAATATATTTCAGTCAACAAATATATGTCAGGACTTAAAGAAGAACTAGACCCATTCGCTTATTTGAATGTTTACTTCTACCATTTTGAAAAGTCTTCATTCAGCAAAGTTTGGAACATCGAACCAGTTAAGTTTGCTATTGTGACTAAAAAATGGTGCGAAATTTGAAGACTTAGACATAGAAAGTTTGTTAGCAGTCAAAGAAAG